CATCCATCCATCCATCCATCCATCCATCCATCCATCCATCCATCCATTCATCGGTTTTCTGTTCCACTGGAGCCTATCCCAGCTGAAAACTTGCGAGAGGGGGGGGTACAACCTGTACAGGTCACCCGTCCACCGCAGTTTATTGATCATATTGATTATAAGTAAGTAATTTCATCCATCATGTACACCATATACAAACAGAAAGTGGTTTGGTGTACTTTGTATCGAGCCAGCATTCGGCTAAAGGTTAGAGATGGATTTCTTAGTTGTTTTATAATGCCTTCAGTCATATGTCTTCAACATCCAGTTGAAGAGAGGACTGTGAACTGATTCACTGTTTGGGTAAATTGGATTGACTACAGGATAGACCTGGTAAGCCCCAAACATGTAATGTGGGTGACCTGGGACCATCTGGTGGATCCCCCTGTCCACATCTTCAATGCATACGTGAGGGAGAGTTTTATTGTCTTGGAAAAATGTACTGTATTCAGGATCTCCACTGTGGATGTCACTTCCCGGAGTAGTAGCCAGAACATTTTCATCACGTGTTCTTACAGCAAACTGAGGACTTTCTAGTGGATACCTGCGAGTGATGAATGAAACAATCAATCTGAGGAGGACTGGCTCTTCTGGGGGGACGCCCGAAGCAGCTTATAAAAATGAGTGGAATCTCATTTCCCTTTGAAGGTTTTTAAGGCATGACCAAGTGGATGGAGGTCCTGGGGAAGACCCAAAACACATTATAAGGATTATCTAACCCTTCTGGCCAGGAAGCACTTATGGTGCTTTAGTGTTGCTATAAAAAAGGATGTGTGAATCTCCATCCAGGAACTGTTGCTTCTACAACATGGATAAATTATGATAATGAATGCATGGAAAGCAATGTCAGACTGTGCGTGTTGACATGTTTACTCGCAGCTCCCATGGCAGAATGCAGGAATCATGGAAATGGAATGAACAGAAAAATAGACACACTTTTATCTTTTGTTTATTACTAAATATCAATATTGTTTGCTTTCTTTATGGAATGTGAAAGCATAAAAAGAAAAGCTCGATTCTGCCTCTGACTGAACATGGATGTAGGGCTACTGAAACCCCTTCTGCTGCATGGATACAGCACACTACAAGTGAAATGTGCCGGCTGTCACTCACAAGAGTTTGTCCTCTCTGCACTTCGGTTATAAGAGGATACATGCAGAGACATATCTTAAATCAGCACTGGTATGTGAGGGGGAGAGTGCTGTTTTTTGGCTGTTACATTAAAGTTCAAGGCCTGCCAGTTCTCACTTCCATCTGCACAGGTTATAAACTAGTCAGCCTTCAGCCATTCTGGCTTACTCAGACCAGATGGCAAAATCACACATAGGAATTTTCTGCAATTCAGATTGTTTCTTATTGATGTGATGTATTTCTATGTTAAGATATATTACTAAAGTGTCTTCTCACAAGGCGAGCTGATGAACTGGCTTGATAGATGAGTTCAGAATCTTTGCAAACTTTTTCATGTTTTCATGTCATTAAGTAAACGGGAATGTTATTGATTTGTGCGTGTCTATGTAGTGCCCATATACCCATTTCAAACAGAAAAAGATAATTAACTACCTAATATCACTGATGTGTTGAATGTGTTGATCTTTGATGATAACATTTGAAACAACTCCCTGTATGAATCCATTGCCAATTAGTCTGCTTGGACTTTGATTCTATTTGCTTTAATATTTCTTTACATGACACATGCGTCTGTGGCATGCTGCCTGAATCACTGCTAACCCTCAGTTGACTTTGTCACTTAAGAAAAACAGAAAAAATGTTTTTTTGTTTATCAGAACAACATGAAAGTTGCTTCATTTTAAATTTAATTAGCAGTTGCCTCCTTTTATATTTCATGTGAAAATGGTTACACATTGGATAGTGTTCGTCACATGTTCAGTTATTATTAAGGCCACATTTCATACATCCAAAGTTGGATATTTTTAATTTAAAAAAGTTGTATTTACTTTGCTTCACATTCATCTTTAATCATAATAAAAATGTAATTATGTCACTTTATTGGGGAAACTGCAAACTGTTTGCAGGTTAGGTTTTTGCCTATGTAAGAACCATGGTATCCAGGTTCCAAAGGCTTCTAAGAAATGAAAATCCATAAGTAAAATGCCCAATTCTAGTTCACTTTTCAGGACACGTCGAAGGTGTCATCGTTGTCAGAGCTGGAGAAGAAATAATCCTAAACTACAAAAGTGTGACTTCTGCATAAGTGTTACAAGTCCTTTGTAAATTAAAATTGGCTGACTGTGTTTTATCTTTGAGTGCCTTTAATTACTTTTTCCTCCCTGCTCATATTGTATACTTTCAGATAAGAGAGAAGTGGAGTCGAAATTGATGATTGTGGAGTGGAATTTCGGGGTTGGATTTGTGAGGAGAAGAAGTGCAGAGGAGGAGCAGGTGATTGAAGGAGGACGGAAAGAGGAGGAGTATGGGCTGCTCTTCTATTTGGATCTTTGTGCTGTCCCTCTCTCTCTCTCATCAAAGTGTTACGGCACAAACTGAAGGTATGTGATGATCTGTAGACGTGAAACTGCACACACAGGCACAAGGGAGTAGATTGTTTCTGACATTGCTGCTCCCTTTTCTTGAAGTAATTTTCCATTACGAAACTATACTTTTGTAATTGTCAGGACTTATGATGTACCTGGTTGCTGAGTTCTAAACAAAAACACACTTTTCACTTTTCAGCACAGGTGTCTGAAAGAAATTATTTGCTTCGACTAAAGAGATGACACGTGCATCTTGGATTATTAGCATGGATTTTTTAACATTTACTAAGAAACATTTACATTTTAACATTTTAAGAAAGACGTTAACTTAGGGCAAGACCTAAATGAAATAATAAAGTCGGATAATACTTTTTTGTTATGGACTGTCAAACACCACTTCCCGCTGCTTATGGATTAGAGTGAGAAATTATGTAAGTCAATGTTCAGAAACAGCATGTGGTAAAAATGAATGTTCCATTACGGTGCAGCCCAGGATTCAGTGTTATTTAGTATTCAACTTCAAAGATTTTAAATTACTGAAAACAGCCTTTTTAGAACTCTTGTTGTTTTGTAATAAATAAAGCCTTGTTAAATTATTTATTATTTATTTTTTTGTACATTCTGTGTAAGATTTTTGCAGTTGATTTTCAGTGGAACTGGTATGTTTATGCCTCTATTGCCTTTTGATTTTCTTAGACGTAGATTCCCTGCAAGTTTATTTCCTCTCTTTTGATCTTGTTTGTGCTGAATAAAGTAGTTGATCATTAAAGGGTGTTTCTTGCTTGGCAGAATTTTTTGCAGCATATGCTGAAGCCACTGGGCTACATCTAATTCGTAAATCAATGGTGGCCCAACACAGAGGTGTTACAACCTTTGAGATATCAGCACAGATAACCTTCAAGAAAACCATTCCTAATCTCTCAGCATGTGTTGTGTCCTCATCCTTGGCATGTTGATCTTACCTGCCAGCCCTCACAGACAAACTTCTGGATAATTGATCTTGTTTTGGACCCCAGTCTGTGGATGTCTGAGAGACAGAAGCCTCCAGCTGCTTCCTTGCTCAGGGAATCCTCCACTTTCTACGTTTTAGAGAAATCAGGGCTCTATGAGACTAATCCCACCAAATAGATTAGCCTCCTGTGCCTCTTAAGAGGCTGCCTTTATAAGGCTTGCTTCAGGCTAGAAATGGTCAAGATTGTTGTATCTTTTGATGTAAAACCAGGGACATTAATTTATTGATGATAAATGTACCATTTTTAAATATATGATATGGCAGTTTCTAGCTCAAGATTACAGCTCAGCACACAGCATCCATAAACGGGACCCCTCGTGATATTTTTCTGTCTTGGGAAGATCTATAGGTGTGTGAGTGAGAACATAATGTTAGGTTGCCATGGGCTGGAGACATATGTCAGCCTCGCTGGATTCTGGGATTGCAGCCAAAGCAAGAGGGCGATATAATAGAGGGGTGCAAGCCTGGTAATGAAATAGAGGACAGCAGAGAATCACTTATCACTTACAGAACAATCAGCGGACCCTATCTTTTATTCACTAGCCTAATCAATGTTGTCGTCACTTTGCTTTATTGCATACGTAATCTTGGAATATTGATTCAGTGAGTTTGCGCATGCAGCAGATTGAGTGTGCATGTGTGTATATATCCAGTGCATTCCGATTGTTGTGGGCTATTTTCTGTTCTGCTTCACATTAGAAAGCATTTAGATGTTGCTTAACTCAGCGTGTTAAATGCATTTGTTTCCTTGGACACAGCAGCTCACCCTGATTTTGGGTGTGTTTACCTTATTATTCTAAGCGTTCCTCATTGCGTTGCTAAAGTTTTATTGCTGTAGTGCTCAGAATATTGATAGTCTCTTTGGCTCAATTGTGTCTCATTAAAAATTCATGGGGATTTGTGAAGCTCTGGCTGCTAGAGAGAGGCATATGAAAAGAAAACCTTCTTCATAGTGTAACAAGACTGCTATCTGCTGGTGAGCATAGGAATAGAACATGTCTAGAGTGCCAGTAATTATGCAAGTTACCTGTTCTGACCTTTGAATATACGATTTTTGTGTAACCTATAGTAGAAAGTTGACTTTCTGCTTTTTACTTTTTTACTTTTTAGTTTACTTTTGAACATAAAATTAAATACTTTTCAAGGACATATCTGTGTGCCCTTCACTCCTTTGGGCTGATAGATCAACTCATTCATTTTTCTTTTTGGCAGCTTGCAGGACTGTGGCGCAGGCAGACATTGTGTTTTTGGTGGATCAGTCATGGAGTGTCGGTGAAACCAGCTTTTCCAGAGTCAAAGGCTTCATCTCAACAATCATTTCCTCCTTTCAAAACAGTGTGCTTGGAGTTGAGGGAGTTCGCTTTGGAATAACTGTCTTTGGAGATGTTCCAAGGTAGTCAAGCACAAGTTTGACAAGGCTTTTCTGACTATAAGTCACATCAGGATGTTGCGCACACACTTCCTTGAATTGTATTTGCGATTTGATCATTGCTACAAAATCTGCTTTTGCTTTTTTCTCCTTATACAGAATGAGGGTTGCTTTGACTGACTACAGCTCATTTAAAGAGTTGTATGGAGCCATCAGAGATCTCCCTTATGAGGGTGGTTCCAGGAGGACTGGTAGTGTCCTCCAGTTTCTTGTGGATTCTATGTTCAGCCCGGTCATTAGTCGAGATTTCACCCCAAAGGTAAGATGTGTATGACCATGCGTGTGTAGATGTGATGTAGATTTTGTATTATTTTGTACATCAAACTCACACATTTACAACTGCACAATTCAAACATTGTTCATTGTTTGACAACAAGCTGAAATGGAGGCAACAGAGTAATGATTCATTTGCTGACTTTGATTACAACCTGCTCCGCAAATACATTCATTTACCGTCTGTTCTGGCACTGCGTAAAATGAATTATTGGTCAGGTGTCTGCATTTGTGCTCCACAGGACATTGTGGAATAAACAAACCAAACAAAGTGGTCTACCTTTCCTACACCACTGTGAATCTGATTAAACGGTTTTATTACGTGCTTAGAATAAAATCTGGCCATGCTTTTTGCAGTGTGTAAACCTTGCTATATGTGCTTTGTCTTTTGCTTTTGGAAAAAATACAGGTAAAAGCTTTCCCACCACTGATTCTGCATTTTCAATTAAATAAACCTTTCCTTATAGCACAGAAGCAAAGATGAACCAGTTTGTACAGCCTATGGTTAACCAAGAATAATCAAAACAAAGATTAAAGAGGACAATTTATATAAATTGTGAGAGTGTCCTTAAAATTAAGATATCATCTCAGTACCTGTCGGTTTCTTGTTAATGTGATACTGAACTCAGCAGCTTAATTAACCTTCCCTCATAATTGTCCTTTATCCACATGCACTTTCCCTCCTATTCAATTTTTTTTCTATGAGCAGCTTTTCAGGCCATCTGATACTCAAGTGCTGCCTCAGTATAACAAAACTAGTTAGCATTCCACTCATTTCAGTGAGTGTGTGAATCATCTTGCAGTAGCACACTTGATGTTGGAACAAAGGATTAGATAGATATATTGAAGTGTACAGCCTGAACACTTCCAAAGAGCAGTCATATTCTCATACTTTTTACCCCACTTCTTCAATGACTAAGAAACGAACTTTGAATGAACTAGGCACAAAATGAACAAATTATTAATTTCAGCTACACATCAACATCCCTTCTAACCCCTTTTCTTAGGGATTAAGTATTAATATATTTATATATGTATATATGTATATATATTTTTATTTTTCATATATTAGTGTCGTAAAAAGGCTAGTGACTGTTAATGAGTGCTTTGACAGCCTCTGTCAACAATTGTTTATGAGGGAACCCAACAGAACTCGGAATGTTTAAAACTTTAAGTTTGATACAGAAAAAGGAAGTTTTTTTTTTCTTTAAGATTTTGTTGGCTCTAGTGGCCTTTAATAACAGTAAAGGGGGCAGAGATAGATAGCATTTAATAAAATTGCTAACTTTTTCTCAGTATTTGAATTTGCATCACAAGTGACTATTTTTTTATTTGTTTCTCTGGCTCGTTGTTCAGATTGCTGTTTTGATAACAAATGGACCCTCAGATGACCAAGTCGAGCCTGCAGCCAGAATTGTAGCCGACAATGGAATTACACTCTTTGCAGTTGGTGAGTGAGGAACTTGGTATTGTGGATTCCTTCAGCATCCCCAGAGCAGCCTCCGTTCAGATTTTATCCAAGCTTTGCTGGCTTATCGCTGTGTTTGCAGTTTGAAATTCATATCTTGTGCTTTTGAATTCATTGATTCAGTATGGGTGTTTGTTTGCATGTGGGAATTTTGGAGATCAGATTATCTGAAGTTATGCAGGCACAAGCATAAGTATGTGTGTAAGAATAAGTGATGATGACTGCAGCTCTTGGATCTATCTGCATGTATGAAGGTGCACTTCTTGACACTGTTACATTGGCTGTCTTCCTTCTTCTGCTTACCCACAAGTTTACCCTTTATTTTCTACAAACAATACTAAATACACAACCCAACAAGTTATTTCTCTCTGGCGGCGGCAGTGCCCTAATTACCACTCAGTAGCTGATGGTGAGTTAATCGCAACTATTTTTCATTAGGCGAGTCAGTGTGCCCCATCTGCACCTCTGACACAGATGCTTCTCCCCTCATTCATCATTTCTACAGAAAAGCTTCACACACATCTTGTCCACAAATGCAAGACCTATATATACAAGGAGGTAGATGTTTTTGGATGGATTCTTTGCAATAGCATTCAGCAGACACTTTTATCCAAAGTACATAATTTTAAAAACATGCACATTTTGCATCTTGCCCTGGTATGATGTTCACCTTCTTAACTGCAATGAACTCTTTAAAAAAAAAATGTATGTGTTTAAGAATTTATTCATTTAAACTGGATTAAACAGAATGATTTCATTTAGAAAGAAGGCCGAACACTTCAGTCATTCTGTAAGTTTGCGTACATACTGTAGGTGCCAGAAATTGTCTGAATAAGCCTCCATGTCTCCAGCACACATGGATGAATTTGAACCCCTTTGACTTTATGTGGACCATGTCAAATGCAACACCTCCCCCTGGTGGTGATGATCTTTCTATAAAATGTCTTCGCCACCTTTTAACAAAACTAGCAAAATAAACCCATTTTGTGGGAAGTAAATCGCACAGAAAAAAAGTGGTGTTACGTGTACATCTGTCAAAGACAAATGCAATCAAAGGAGACGTTTGTTTTGACCTGCTGTGTTTCAATTCTGTTATTTTTTCTTCTTTTTCTAGGGGTTCAGGGAGCTGATGAGTCAGAGCTGAGAAGGATTGTATCTGAGCCCTATGAGGAACATCTATTGCTATGCAGTGACTTCTCCCTCCTGGAAACCATCCTTCCTAAACTGTCCCGCAGAGTGTGCTTCACTGCCTCGGAACCACCCCGTCCTGTAAAAACCTCAAAGCCAGGTGAGTTCTTCCAGTTGAATTTAATTTAAAAGCTGCTTTTACACAGAGATTTTTTTCACTTTTGTATTGATGATTATCATACTTACCTTTTTGTGTCTAAGGTAACAGTGGTTTAGTCACATTAGCACAAACTGACATTTTGTGCCTCCATCTCCTTGTTTGATCTCATATCAAATCTATTTCCATACTTGCTCCCATGCCAGTTGAAGAGCAAATAGTGGGTCCCAGAGACCTTCAGGTGAGTGAGTTGGCTCACAGCTCCCTCAGGCTTACATGGAGCCAGGCCACAGGTGATGTCACTGGATATCGCCTCCTGGTCACCCCTCTCAGCTCCAAAGGACACCTCCTCTCCCTGCAACAGAGGCAGGTAAGGGACTATCAAAATTGTCTTGAAGGTAAGCTGGTGAAAGTATTGTTTAACGTACAGTGAATGCAGCTCTGGTCTAAGAGAGGTCTCTCACACAGACTGACAACAATTGTTTTAAACATTTATGGGATTTCACGATAGTTAATCTTGCTGATTAATAAGCTCCAAAATGAAATGAATGAAATCGTTGATTCACAATCTTTTTTTTAACCAAAATTTTCAATTTTAAGACTAAAAAGATCAATGCCCAAAAAATTAAGCTGTTTTCATTGGAATTCATCCTCAAAATTTGTCAAGTGTGTATTTGTCTCTGGTCATTGTACTGCCTCTGGTTATTTTTTCCCTTTTTCCTCAGACTCCATTACTCTTTTGATAATTTGTGTTCCCATTATTCTCTCTGGCTCTTTCCATCTCACACTAACACATCCTGAGCTCCTTTTCCCCCTGCTGACCTCTGTGTATGAAACAGATGGATCTGAAGGCAGATGTGAGCACGGCCATGGTGACAGAGCTGACTCCAAAGACAGATTATTCACTCACTCTCTACGCAATCTACCCGAGCCTCATAGGAGACTCCCCAACTATCACAGTAAAGACAAGTAGGTGCCCTATGCAGTGCTGGCACTAATCATTTATAATTGTGTAGCTTTATGTTGTTTCAGTTTACTTTAATTTTACATTTTTAATTTCACTTTACATCCCTGATCGACAATCTTTTTTCTTTCAGCTCCTTTGCCCAAGGTGTCAAACTTCCGTGTAACTGAGGCGGGTCTGTTCTCTCTGCGTCTTGGCTGGACACCTCCACTAGGGAAACTTAACGGATTCAAGATCTTCATCCCAAGATGTATGTTGACATTTGTGATTAGTATTTCAAGCCTATATACAAATGTATTCCAAATAGATGTAGTTATGTAGGATGCTATTCCTGAATATCAATTCAAAGTTGCTTTTCATCTCCTTCATATACAGAACAAATGCAGGCAAAGAGCAGTTTCTTTAAAATTTGTGTTACAATATCGATTCTTTTGAATTTGGTACTGTTTTCCAGCCAATAGGCCAGGATTAACGTACGAGCAGCTGCTTCCTGGAGACACCTTCTCACATGTGATCGACAGCCTGGAGGAAGATAAGAAGTACACCATCAGTATCTATGCTGTTTATCCCCAAGGACCAAGTGAACCAGTCTCATTAGTCGGCAAGACACGTGCGTTGGTTGTATTGTCATTATCGAAATTCATAATAACAGGAAAGCCTGAGGTCAAGCTTTACAGTCCTTATAATAAAGGGAGCTTATTTAGTGTGAATTGGGTGACACTTTTTGGTGTCCATTTTTCAAACAACAACAGAAATAAGTTAGCACTGGAAGATTTGAGCAAAGTCTCTCTAATTGTGGCACATCACAGGAAGGAAAATATATATGTGTAATAACACAAAACATCCACAGTATGGGAGTGTTGTTCTTAGAAAAAAGAACCTGCAGTTTTTAGTTTTTCATTCACTCCACACTAACAGACTCTTACAAATTCTTAGACTGAGTTACATTAGATTTGGTACTTTAAACATTACTTGAGGAAATTTCTACCTGGTCAGAAGTTTAAATTAGTTATAATACTTCCATTGCACATCTGTGTCAAAATACATTGAATTAGGTATTTAATTTGTGTGAATCTTATTGTGTCTATGTGTTGCGGGTGTTTGTGACAGTAAAGTTAGTACCAGTCCAGCAGTTCCTGGTCCAGAACGCCACAACAGACACTGTCCAGGCAAGGTGGACCCCAGTCAAAGGTGCCTCAGGATACCGTCTGACATGGGCATCCCAAGGTACTGTGGTCAATTAAAAGACTGTCTTCTTAAGAAAATTGAACTATACGTTGTTTTTCTCAGATTTGTTGATTACGTTGGACAAAATAATGCTCTTTACTTGTTTTTATGCACATTTCTGTTTTACGCAGATGGCCATGTAGAAAACATAAACCTTGGGGACAATTTTAACTTTTACATGATCCAGGGACTTCACCCTGGCTCCGAGTATACTGTCACCATCAACCCCATCTTTGGAGACACTGAGGGACCCATCACCACCACCAAAGCCAAGACATGTAAATAGAAGTCTAAGAAATTAAAATCAAAACCTACACCCTTGAGGACATAGGCTCAGTAATTCAGTTGCCACGTTTCTGCAGCCTCACAAATGCAGAGGGGAAAAAAACTTAAACAAAGAGTTTTTCCCTTTTTCAACATACAGTCAAAGTAATTGTGCTACATTTCCATTTGATGTTAAACTTTAAGTATCGTGCTGCCCATCACAACTGGAAAACTTTTTTCCCTCTTTCCCCAAGGATGAACACACATAGTCTGATCCATTTTGTTTACCTGTTTTTGAATAGGTAATGTCTGGCAGAGTAATGCACAAACAGGTCATACTTGTGTGAGGAATTAAGACTGATAACGTCTATTCAGTGAGGTGATGATGCATAGCTCTTGTTATTTTTATCTCCATCTTTCTTTCTTTTAGTGGAAAGTAGTGCTGTTCAAACTTTGAAGGTATCTGCCGTGAGCACCAGTACAGCTATCATTTCCTGGAATAGTGTTCCAGGGGCAACAGGATACAGGCTGGCATGGGGACCCACCCCAGGTGAGTTCTATTTCTCTCACTTTCTATGTTTTTAAGTTTTTCTCCATTTCACAGAGCACATAGTGTATAGTGATAAGATGCTCATTAAATATTTATTACATATTCATATATTCCACCATATAGCTCCATGTTGTATTTGGCATTCTTTAATCAAATCTTGTTCAGTTTCTTTTCACCCTGTCTTAACTCTGGTGAGAGTTTTTTTCAAAGTAAAGACTTCCTAAATGGAAACTGCCACTCACCGAACCTGTGAGCAACTTGTATCAGACTACAAATACTCTGAAAACAGAGTAGAATGTTGTTTAGGGGGGGGGGCAGTCTCTGATGATGGAGAGTAAGAAGTCATTTGGAATACTAACACAAAACAAAGATATAACAGGTGATAATAATGCTTTTCAGAGTTTGTTGGTCGGGATCGTCCCAGGCAGTTGGCTCTAAATGGCAGCACCACAGAATTCCAGCTGAAGAATGTAGCTCATGACACGGAGTATGTCCTGACTCTGTATGTGCTTTTTGGGTCTGTTGTCGGCCCTGGTATCTCTGCTACCTTCAGAACTTGTAAGTATGTGGGTTCATGCCCAGAAATTTTACCAATGACATTTTAGTGAAAAAAAAAGTGCTGTGCCTCATCAACATAGAATGACAGTTATGCTTTACCAATGGCCAGTTGTTTTGAATGTATTCTCCTTTCATTACTCAGCTCCTTTGGGTTATGTGTCCAACTTCAAAGTGACATCCTACACTAGTTCCTCCATAGATGTGGAGTGGAGTCCCATAGTTGGGGCCACAGAGTACAAACTGTCCTGGAAAAAAGGTAATTTATCTCAGCATGACCATTTCTTACACCCATCTTTTTATTTACAGACCAATATCAGGCTTTTGTTCCAGCCTTTTAAAGAATGTTGTAATTTGATTAAATCTATTTGTGCCTTTGAGTACAGATGATACCAGCCCTCAGTCCCAGTACCTGGACCGCAGTATCCTCTCCCACCAGATCATAGACCTGATCCCACAGTCCACCTACACCATCACTATTTGTGCAGTGTACGGCAACTCAGAGGGACCAGAGATCTCCCTGTCTCAACTCACAGGTACAGAACAGAAACGGGGGTCTCTGTGAATTTTAATTTCATCTGTCAACCTAAATAGTTCTGTGCAGCTGTGTAGTCGTTATGATTAAATGGGAAAAAACAGAGTTCTTCCTCTTATGCCACCGCAACCTTGTTCTGTCTTTGTTTGACGGGCATATCGTGTACTTTGGCCTTCCTGTTTTAACCACAATTTCTTTTGCTGTCACTTGTTATACATGTCACCATGTCCAAGTCAGTGGGGTTTCTATCACTCTATCACTCTCACTTTGAGGGTGCACCAGCCTCCACATGTAGATTTAGAGGATGCGTAAACAAATGCACACCACCTGTAATTTTTTTAATATTGTCTTTGATAAACTGTGTCATTCTTTGTTACACAACTGTTAATTCTCAGCTGCGATGTCAGACTCAGAGCCAATCCAGGCAGTTAAGGAGGTGAAGGTTGTGGACATTGGAGTGAATTCCTTCACCCTGTCTTGGAAAAATACACCAAGGGTTTCAGGGTACAAAATCTCCTGGATTCCCTTCCTTGGTAAGAATGCCATAAAGGCTCAGCTGTGTATGCTCTGAGCCTCATGCAGTCACACTTATCCCAAAATGAATGTACATCTGATTGCTCATTACAATATGATGTATATTAAGAGAATGATGGAGTTGCATTTGACATTTGTGAATTTCAATTTGTGATCTCATTGTATTCTTTTTTATGATTAAAGAAATCAACCAGGGCAAACTAATGAAAATATCAAATTTAGTCCCCTATGGCTTATTTAAATGGTAAAAGTGTCCATATTAGATTTTTCCACCCTTATATAACCTTTACATGCTGGATTGAATTACTCCCTGCTCTAGGGGGTGACGAGAAGTCCCAAGTGGTGTCTGCAGCTTCAACTACATTTATAATCGAGAACCTGCGGGAGAGCTCAGCTTATAAGATTCAGGTTTTCCCTATCATGGGCAACCGGGAGGGCAGTTCAGTCCTACTCACGGCACGCACCTGTGAGTCCTGCCTGCCCATGACTGGGCATTTTTTCACAAGCAAATAAGGATTTTTCTTCTGTTTGTGTTTTTCATCATTCATGCATTTTTGTTTTGTCTTTGCTCAGTGGATCTTCCAAAAGTAGAGGGATTTGCTTCTCTGAACACAACGGACAGCAGCACTATTCTGAACTGGACACGTGTTGTAGGTGTCTCTGGATATCTTGTCTCTTGGAGACACATATCAGGTACTCGATGAAACACAATAAGCCTTGGCTCTAGCATTACATTTGCACTTTGCATGCATAAAACAACAACAACAACATCACCCAACAATGTTTCCTGAGTTCATCATGAAAATCTAACATTTCTTCCTGCCATTTATTTTTTCTAGTGTTGGAGACCAAAACGGAGACACTTGGGCCTGGCTTCTCCTCATATAAGATTAGTGACCTCCTGTATGGCAGAACATATATTTTCACCATCCGACCTTTGTATGGAGAAGTAGAGGGGCCCATAAGCACCATATACCAGAGGATATGTAAGACTACGTTAAGATAATGAGCATCTCTAGCAAAATGTCTTCACATAAAATATTGAAAATACATGATGCTGAATTGAGTATTTACAAACCTTCACTTTCAAGATTAATAATTGAAATATGAAAAGCTGGTGCCATCTTAAAAAAGTGCATTTAAATCCAGGTAGAAGAATCAATGTTTAATTTGATGTGGATTCTTGACTGCTGCTGTAAGTCTGCTTTACCCCATGGACCTTAAAAATTGTTTTCTTTATCTTTTTATATTTGTGTTCTATGGTTGTATACACCACAGTGGGACAGGGTGACTTGTCAAAAGCCAGCACATCTTTGCCAGCAACAGTAGCCCCTCAATCGGTGCGTCTCACAACTGCCTCCCAGACTGCCTCCATTATCAACACTGTCATCACTCAATCAACCACCAGGGCTACTGAGCACCCCACTGTAATGCCACCATCCAAATCCATAACAACCAAGAAGCCTCCAGGTCGGCCAAGTGTCACTGAAGCTAGAGAAGCTGCAGTCACCTCCCTGCGACAATCCACAGTGAGCACAAAGCAAACAGCTGAAACCCCACCAGGTATTTAAGAGATGCTGCCCTTTGCCTCATATGTTCATATTTAATTTGGAATAAATACCTTTTAGAAAAACAATTCTTTATGATTTGTATGATTATTTCTCATTTTGTCAGTGTGTGGGAAGACCAAAGCTGACATAGTGTTCTTAGTGGATGAATCTTCGAGCATTGGAGTCAACAACTTCATGAAGATGAAGGATTTCATATTTAGAGTGGTCACCTACTTCCCTATTATTGGTTCACAGGGAACACAGGTTCGTTAGTCTGTTAAGAATTTCTTTGTCTTTTATGTTTGTTTTAAGTTGCTAAGAAGATTACCATTCTTTTATGTGTTTAAATGTCCATTTTCCACAGATAGCCATAGTTCATTACAGTGACGAGCCTCGTATTGAATTCCGACTGAGTGACTTCAAAGACAGAAATTCCTTGCTAAGGGGTATCAGAGGGCTGAGATATGGAGGAGGCAATACCAAAACAGGTCAGTTGATCTCACAATGCTTTTCTCTGTTGACCACCTGTCATCCAAGGGCAGGTAATTCCACAAAATCCACTTATGTTGTGCTGTTGAGGTCACAGCCTCTAGCATCTGTCAGAAAAAAATACTGTGCAGCTGACATATAGAATCACACCAGCTGCTGATATAGGTAGTTTCAGTTGGGATGAGGTAAACTCACCCAGGATAAATCGAATGTCATAAATTGAATGTCTCGTCCAGGTGGACTTACAGTTATGGTGAAACTAAAAAGAGTTGATGTATTTGCTCTTGCTCTTGTGTGTCTTTGTCCAGGAAAAGGCATCAGCTATGTTCTGCAGGAGCTTTTCCAGGAGTCTTTGGGGATGAGGCAGGATGTGGCCCATGTTCTGGTTCTGATAACCGATGGCAGGGCACAGGATGATGTGATGCCACCATCCAGAATTGCACGTGCTTTGGGTCAGTTCTGCCAAAAAATATCTATAATGAAGAATAGAATAGACATAGAATACAATTATTCTATTTGTTTAAGATGAGCTGACTACCACAAATCATAAAGCTACATTTTCTGAATAATTTTTCAGTTTTATTATTTTTTCCTGTTTTTAAGAACCAGGCTATGTGTTAAATTGTTCGACTAATTCTAGTGACTCCCGTTTTTTTATTTCTGTTGAATCTATCTATTTCGATTCTGTCTATAGGGGTCAGTGTTCTGACAATCGGAGTTTCAAATGCAGACATGGAGGAGCTGAAAAAAATTGCAGTTCCCACCAGCTATAAAAATATCTTCTACTCCCCAACCTTTGAAGACTTTCCCTCCATAGAGAGAGAATTTATTGGTAGCATCTGTAGCGAAGAGCTTCTCTCAGAGTTCAAATTGCATGATGAGGTGAGGAAAATAAAGTGAAAGTCTTATTAATTTGTATTATAGCAAGACATTTAGTATCGCAGCACTTTTCAGTAAAGCATGCTTTTGCTTTGAAAGGTATTTAAATGTCTACCATTATATACATTTTGCTCACAGGCAAGCCTGTGGTCTTTCAAAATACCTGTTGAACTGAATATTCAGGCACAGAGTGAACCTACAAAAAGATCCAGTCTCTAGGTCCAAAGCAGAGAACACATTGTCATTCTAGACTTCATTTTGACATCAGATAGAAGCAGAGACTGCAGAGTGAAATCTAGGCAGTGTCAGTGGAGAGCCTTCTCCTCTATTACAGTTTATTATTATATTGTTATGATAATTACCTCTTCTTTAACCATTGTTCGGTTGGTCAGAACAGAATGTATTCCTATTTTATCATTTTTGGGTTAAGTTTGCTCAGTTAGACACTCCAACTGAAGACCCAGAAGAGCTGCTCAAGCCTCAAGGTCCCTGCTCCTCCCACTGTGTGAAGGTTCATGTCAAAATCATGAATTACTTTAAATATAATAGCAATATTAAATGTTGTGCGTATCAGCAGCTAATGCTCATGTTCTACGTCCATTTTTGCAGGGTCAGAAAGGGGAAAAGGTGAGTCAACTCACAGCAACAGCACATTTGCTTGCTCTTGTGAAACAGCAATAGTTAGTTTTCGTCATCTGTCTTCTTTCAGGGAGATGCTTTCAGCCGTGGAGGTCTGGTATGTGTTTTCTCTTTAAATATAAAAAATATTTCCATATTTTTTTCAATGACACGCATTTTTATAACTCACTTGAATGGATTTAACTAACCTTTTTTTTATTCTTTAACCTATTCATGTAGAGATTTGTACAAAGCCCTGGACAGTATGATCCTTTCACATCCTCCAAAGGAGAGAGAGGAGAAAGGGTAAGAGTCAGCAGATAATTATGCACTAATATTACCATCATGATCTTCATTATTGATTAGTTATGATCATGCCATCTGCAATCTGCTCATATCAATCTGCTGTCCTATTCAGTTGTGATTCATACATGTTAATTCAGACAAAGCTAAATATTTAGTGTGTATAAAACTATTCTGCACAAGTTGATATGGTAACAAAATTTACTAATGGAATGAACCAGGTTTGACAAATCTAATCCAAATTCAAATTGTGCCATTATGTAAGACGAGCTATAGGCTACTCACCTCCTAACAGTATAGTAAACATATACGTGGAACTACTGCAGGCCTCTTATTTCTCCACTTTTTTAGTTTGATTGTAAAGCCTTTGTTTTACAGGGATCGCCAGGAACTGATGGTGTTCCTGGGCTGCCAGGGCGACCAGGAAGAACTGGACCCCCTGGTTCTGCTGGCCAACGGGTAATCAAATGCAGAAAGAAAACCTCACAGTGACCTTATCTGGCTCAGTAAATTATACTGTGTTTCTTTTCCTCAGGGACCTCCAGGCGTTCCAGGTGACATGGTGAGATCAAAATGACAAATTCGTAATGGAATCTTTTTGGGGGTTTTTTGGATTGATAATTTCATACTATGGCCATGTTCTGTTTACTTCTGTATTTTCTTGTCAGGGTCTTCCTGGACTTACTGGTTCAAAGGGACAAAGGGGAGAAAGAGTAAGTTTCCTTAATGCTATTAATGTCTTTGATACTTTGAAGCTTCTTGATCAAGGGTTTCTCAAATAGTTCCTTTAAAGAAATGATATTGAGTTAAAACTCACGAAAGTTTCTTCAGAGGAAATGCCATATATATATATATATATTTGTATAATCAATTATCAGGGGTTCATCGCAGCTGAGCTGAACCCTGCCCCATGGAAAAGAAGACTCTGCTCTTGTGCTGCTTATCTTACACATTCTTTTGAGAATGAGCCTTGAATGAGCTCTACAGTTTTTAGCACAGCACTTAAATGTAAAATAACTCATCAGTTCAAAACCCGCACTGAGCACAAGGTCGTGTTCATCTTATCATCTAATATATTTTCACTTTATTTCTGTATACACCAAGGGAGAGCCGGGGTATGTCATAGCAGGCACTGATGCAAATTTTGTACCTGGCCGAAAAGGAGAACCTGGATCTTCAGTAAGTTCTCAAGAATGATTGAATGATGGGATAAATCCTTCAATTAATCTATTAATAAATATGAATATTTTTTAAAACGTTAACTTTATTATTTTTTTAATTGCACAGGGCCCCCAAGGACCACCTGGTGTGCCAGGGGTCAACGGAGCTCCAGGCCTTCCTGGCCAAGCAGGGCCACCAGGTCCAGCTGGAGTATCTGTAAAGGTAACAGCAATCCTGAATATTAAAGGTACCGAACAAGCTAGGCATTATACAGTGTTGGAGGACTGTAAAGTCTCACTGTTTTCAGTTTTTCTGCACCTTATCACATGTTCTTATTAGAATGTGTTTCTTACCTCATGGCCTTAAATGGCATTGTGTTACACAATAAATCATGCCAATATACACAAAGAGTTTTTAAATGTCACACAGTCTAACAGAGCTGCTTCCACTTGTTTTGCTTTGCAGGGAGATACTGGAGAGCCGGGAGTAAAAGTAAGCATGAATGTTGTTTTCTTTATAGGAGAAATTTTTTGACTTTTGTTTAATTATGCTTTAATACAATCCATGCACAGTATCCTATTTTTAAAGCCTCAGCATCAGTTTTTTTTGTTATTTATTATGCATGGTTTCTTTTTTTTATCTGATCATATTTCCATTAATCTTTTAAAGGGTTTACGGGGAAAGCAGGGCATGAAAGGAGACAAAGGAGGGCCGGGAATAGATGTAAGTACATAACTGTAAAATTTATTAATAGTTACAAAAGACTTTGCATAAGAATAAAATGTATTATTTAAAATGGCCCTTTGAGAAATCATCCTTGCTTATTTTTAAATTGCTGGCTTCTTTTTTTAAATGATTTTTTCATTCTCATACACAATCTTACAAACACACACTTTTGTGAATCTCCTGTAGGGTATCGCAGGTTTGCCCGGTCCCATAGGCATTGATGGGGTCCCAGGACTGCCAGGTCAGAAAGGAATGAAGGTAAATAAGGTTTTATGTACTGCTTATGTACTTATGTACTTCTTTTGACCTGTAAACTACAAAAGCAAGAGAATCTAACTGAGATTGTGGCCTTCCACAACTTTCGTCAGGGTGAAGAAGGAATTGGCATTCAAGGTATTCAAGGTCCTAGAGGGGAGCCAGGAGAGAAGGTGCATCAGTACATCTGCAAAGCACTAGACTCATTCATAAGCCCGATTTCAGTCAGCAAAGATCTGAGGTTTTGTCTGTCCTCAGAGAAAAAAGAACAGGAATATATATATACGTATTTTCTCACTGTTTGATGTTTTACTTTGCAGGGGAATGTTGGCTTTACAGGACTGGTTGGCCCAAAGGTAACAGAAACTTAATAAAACATACTGAGTATGTCATGTTTTGATGTTTTAAAAAAAGATGAAGAACAAAAATGCAGAGTAATATTCTTTATTCAATTTATCTTTAAAGGGGGAGCGTGGAGAGCAGGGCATCCAGGGTATTGTTGGACCCCGGGTGTGTAAATTATTGTTATCTCCAGTTCAGTTGCAAACACAGAGTTTGAGCATAATTTACCCTTGAGTGCGTGTGAATTAATTCAGCTTCCTTATAATGAGATAACACCAAACCTTTTTAACTGTGGATACATGACCAAGCCTTTTTAACAGAAGATACTTAAGAATCGGTGATGAAAGGATTCATAGCAATTGATTTATTTCTATTCACAGGGGAAAAAAGGGCTCAAAGGGGATAAAGGGGAGACGGTGAGTTTATCCCACATATTCTTTCCTCATTAAGCTAAAAATATTTACTTTACAAGTGCTAGTATACAGTAAAATAATTATTTCCCTCAGGGAAGTATAAAACTGATTACTTTGGATTGCCACTGTGTGTTTCTGTGAGCATCCAGTTGTCTGTGTTGAATTTGATCATAATCATTGTTTTATTGGTACTAGGGAAATCATGGAGAAATTGGACCAATTGGACCTCAAGGACCTCAAGTGAGTAAAGAAATTGGAAGTGATCACCTGATTTTTTTTTTTGTCTCAACAATCCTATTCCAGTTTTATTTTCTTTTTATAGAGCTTCTGTTTTTTAGTCCAAAAATATTACCCTTGAAGATAAAGATGTTGAGCACAGAAACAAACCGTTTTGATTGGTTCGACTTAGCACAAAGTAACAGATTTTGGCAGTCAAGTTTGGAGTGAGTCATAAAGGAGATGGCATGGAGTCCTTTTTTACATATTTGCATTAACATTTCAAGGGACTGACTGGGCCTATGGGCCTCAAAGGAAACGAAGGTCCAAGAGGAATCCCTGGAGATCCTGCCAAGGGTGTAAGAAAATATTTTCACATATTTAAAATCCACAAATAGAAGCACTTGTTACTCAGCTGTCCTGTTTTATTCGTTTTTATTTCTATCCCAGATAATCGGTCCAACTGGAAAAAAGGGCGCCAGAGTAAGTCCTTTTAACCAGTGGTCATCCAGAAAAATATGAACGGAACATAGGGCTAGTACCTTATCAGTATTCTTGCCACAATTACACGTTTTACCCACAAAGCTAACTTAAAACCTTTAATCATCAATCATAGAAATCTTTAGTATGGAAAAATCTGATCGAACTGACTGAAATACAAAGTTTCAATCTTTTGTCACAATCTCAAATATTCATCCAGGAAGTTGGTATGTATTTATCTGTACTTGTTGAAAATATATCAGTCTGCCTGAGGGAAGCAATTCTCTTGAAGTTTTATTCAATGAAAATCTAGTTAATTATTTGTTTAGAGTATTCCTGCTCAGTCAGACTCAATCATCTGGGTCTACTTACCAAACACAATTAGGATCTCTCTCATTAGCTTGTGCAGTTGGCTTCTGAATGTTTCGGTAGATTGGACCTCTTTAATCTCAGTCCACGGGGTACCATTTAGAGTGAGAAGAAATTTGGCTTGGTGATCAAACTAACGTGGCTTTGCATATATTTTATTTGCCAGGGGGAAATTGGTCCAGTTGGTCTCACTGGCCCTCAGGGAATAAAAGGAGAACAAGGAGACAAGGGAGAAAAGGTAATTGTGGGAGACAATATCTGTCATGCTTGTATTTGCATTTCACAAATGTGTTTAATGTGTGGCTGTGGTTTGATTAAATATGTACAGGGCAGTCCTGGATTTGGGATTCCAGGGCAGCAAGGGCCAAAAGGGGAGAATGGGGAGAGGGTGAGTCATATTTAGTGTTTTAGTTTAGCTAATTCTTAATTCTTTTTTATTGCTGTTAAATGTTCTAACAATTTGATCAACTATAGGGAAACGTTGGTTTATCTGGAAAACCAGGCCCAAAGGTAAGTGAAATTATATTATTTTCCTACTTTCTGACCCTTAGTTAAACCACTGCAGATGACTGAAGTGGTTTTTGGGAGTTTTTTTTCCTAGTTCTTATATGAATTTAAGTTGAAATTGACTTTCAAATTCTCCCTTATGATGGCAATACATCAGATTCCCTTGTTACCCTTCCAGGCAGTGGCTGACGAACAAAACACCTCTCTCATATCAGCTAGTGCTATCAATCATGAGTCATCTCAAGAACTCTTGTCATTTTGTAATGTAGATGTAGATGTAATGAAGCCATTACTTTCCAAGAACAACTTTCCTGACATCCTCCCAAAACACACTTCCTTTTCCAGGAGGGGAACTTTGTCAGGGAAATATATTCATTATATCATGAAAATCTTTTTGTGGCATCTGGGTTATGATGGCTTGCCATCTGTGACGGAATATTTTTTAAATATACCACTTACTTTAGAACAGCAGGGATGTCACAGAAAAATTTGAGGTACGCCCTTTGTGTGCGAAAACCCACCAAGTTAAAGCTGTTCTATGTCAAAGAAAATGCTTCTATCAGTACTGGAAATTAGTTACAATTATTGGTGTAATGAGGTCACACCAAATATTCAAATATGCACATGCCACAGACGGATAAGTTAAATAAATATCCTATTAATAATGTCTTCTCATCCCCTCATATATTTAATTATTTTGTATTTTATCTACTTTAAAACTTTAAAAGTGCAATACAACTTAGAATATCAACAAAGACACTTCAGGATTCCAGGTCACTATCTAGCACTATTTAAAAGTCTAGAGCCAGCAATCAAGCCTTCATTTTCTTAACTTTCTTAGATTCATTTTGGGGTCCCCATAATTTATGAAAACTCTTTCAAGTAGTCTAATCTTTGGAGATTGGATCTGCTATCAGTCAGGCACTTTTTGCACCTGACCATTTTCAATTTTAATGGATCCATCTACTGTTCACCAAAGTCTTGTGACAAAGGATTTCAGCGTAGGTATATCAAATTACACAAGAACAGGAAAAATCAATGGAAATGGGTCCTATGCCAATGAAAGTCCCCATTTCTTTTTAATAGTTGTGAAATTTCACAGATGCTATAAGTCTGAGTTTGCCTTTTCCAGGGAAAAGATGGAGCTAAAGGCGACAGAGGGAGTATGGGCTTACCTGGGGATCCTGGAGAACCAGGATTAAGAGGTAAAGATGTAAGTAAATCCTGAGTGACTGTTCCAGCTATGAAAAAAACAGTATAGTACAATTCAGATTCCTTTTATATGCAAAGACTTAAGCCAGAAAACATGAATAACAAACTCTGTCTGTAAAGTTTGTAAAGTAGTTGAAAAAAATTCAAAATAGAGCTCAGGAAAATGTTAAAACTGCTTGTTGCTTTTTTGTTAGATACAACAAAAAATGTACGTTGTAAACCTGGATAAAATGTTTTGTTTTTGTGTGCAGGGTACACCCGGAACCAAAGGACAACAGGGAATGAAGGTACAGCCAGTTTCCTTTACTTTCTTTCCTTTTTTGTCATGGTGTCTTAATCAGCACTTGCTGCTTCATTTTGAATTTTACAGGGTGAACAAGGACCAGCAGGTGAAACTGGTGAAAGAGGAATAAGGGTAATTCTTCAGCATTCTTATAATTAAGATGAAAGTTTTAAAGAAATCGAAAACTAGACAAAAGAAAAATCTGCTTTAAACTGATGTAAAAAGCCTGAAATTTCATCAAATCACTGATCAATAAGAAAATCTCATAAGTCTCATATGTTTATCAGGGCCCCCTAGGGTTACCAGGGCAACCTGGGGACCGTGGAGAAAAAGGGGATACTGGGAAATCTGGAATGCCTGTAAGTGCAATAAGTACTGTAAAGAGACAGAAATAGACTTTAAATTACTGAAATAACTCAGGTTAAACTTACCTTACCTTACAATACCTCAGCAAGATTTTTGATTTTCTCTGAAGGGTACTGATGGGACAAAAGGTGAAAGAGGAGAGCCGGTATGTTTATACACCTCCCCCTTTTCATGGATAGTGTTTGTTGTTTTTCCTTCTGGACACCCTCCCTGATCACTCTTCTGCGTCACCCTTTCACATATTTGCATCCTGATATCTTCCTGTGACATTATGATTTCTGTTTCGATACCTTTTTAATTAAACTGTTTTTTGTGTGTGTCACCCATCAGTGGACCTGCTAGTTTTCCTTTGTGTTGCAAATATGGACTTCACAGTGTGTTTCACAGTGTCTTTCACAGTGTGACGTTTTAGATCTTAACTGTGCTTTGTCTTTTCTTTTGATCAATCTGGCATTGTCACAAAGGGGAAACCTGGCCCTCCAGGAACACAAGTAAACAAATTTAAATTATCCTTTTATGCAACATCTCATCAGATCAACCATGTGTGACAAATCCATTTGGTATAACCAACTTATACAAAGTTTCCTGTTAGTTGAAACTGTGTTTATTTAATTTGCCAGATCGTTGCAGACAACAACATACTGACCAGAGTGATTAAGGTAGCTTGAAATATAATAATTGTAAAGTAAAAATAAAAATTATATAATTGTTTGCATAATTAACTTTTATTGATAATTAAACTTTATTTTCCTTTTTTTGCTTATTTTTCTTCCCATCAGGGCGAGCCAGGAGCGCCTGGTCAGCCTGGCTTAAGAGGAGAAACTGGTCTACCTGGACAAAGAGTGAGTATCCCATCACTTCCTTTACTTCATACCAAATCAGTATTCTTTAGGTAGTCTTTGTAGTTTATTATCAGATAAACACTGGAAAAGTCAGCCAGGAAGTTCAAATCTTCATCTTTCAGACAGTCTGGGTGATTTAGTTGAAGCAACAGTGACTCTGTGTAATTAAAAGTTAGTTGTTAATGCTTGTTGTAATAGAGCTCAGGCTGTTGGGGTTCTCTGTTGAAAAAAAGCTACATTTTTCACTCACTGATTCACTTAGTGATTGTTTTCTTTCAAAGCGAGTAAAACTAAACTAGTTGAAAAAGAAAAGAAACAGCCAAGGTGAACATTTATGATTCTATTGTACTATATATGTGTGTAAATATGTGTTTGTAATGAATACAATGTAATTCTTTCTACTTTCAGAATATGTTTTGTTGTGCTATAACATTCAATTGTTCCCAATCCTCTTGATTTCTTATGTCTCGTCAGGGCCCAGAGGGGAAGCCTGGGGTACCGGGATCATCAGTGGTATATTTCCATTTAGCCCTGTCATATGTTCACTGTTTGTTTCAGCAGGGTTTAAAGTTTGCAAAAAAAGATGTGTAAATATATATGTTTTTGCTTTCCAGAGTGGGTCTGGAGCTGATGGTGTACCAGGAAAGCCAGGGATAAAGGTAGACTGCTTCACATTCACATGTTCACTGCACTGAATGACTCTTTAGAAATGTGAAAACTCGCTTACTTACAAGATGCTTTATAATCACTGCAGGGTGACAAGGGACAAAAAGGAGACCCTGGTCTGGTGAGAGCTTCTGTATTAATAAATATGTTTAATCCATTCATCTATACATTTAAGCATCACTGAATCAATAGGTAGTGTCAAACATGATGAAATGTTGATTAACAACACCTAACTGGAAATATTTATGTTAGTATACTTTTTAAGCACCACTGAGATGAAATTGATGTGACAGAAGCCTAAACTGTAAAAGAGTTCAGTCAGCACTGTCTGATCCAAAGCTAACACTAACATTACAGCATGCTGCAGTATGATGTTGCTCCATAATGGACAGGGTTTTGTGTTTTTCACAGAGAATAACTTGGGTAATCATTCATCCATTTTCTGCTACTTTCTCAGGTCCAGAGTGTGATAATGTGATTTATTATATCATTAGGAGTTGTTCTTATCAATTGAGTGAAAAAAAAAGAAAAAAATGACCTGATTATACCTAATGACATAATTGTGGACCATAATAATCTCGGTGGTTATCAGTCAGACTGTACTTTAGTAACATGGCTCATGGAACAGGGATTAAACTGTGTATTTTTGGTTCCAATGTCTGTTAGACGATTTGCACACATGGGTGTTTTTCCTGATTTAAATTGATCTGGATGGAATATGTTTAAAGCATTTTATAATCTTTAAAGTGTTTTTCATATGTCTGTATATGTGAGCAGAGGGGAGAGAAAGGAGACCAAGGTGGGCTTGGGATCGCTGGAATTCCTGGTTTACCTGGAACTCCGGTGTGTATCAGTCTGAAAGCTTCTGGCAGCAGCTTGAACAAACACCCTTAATTTGTTACAATGACAATAGTCAATGATTAAATTTAATTTCTTGCATGCATTACAAATTGTGTAGCAGCTTCATATCTTTTGTTGAAAAATAAATTAAAACTAAGGTTCTTCTGTACAGGGGAGATCTGGCGTTGATGGAAAGAGAGGACTGCCAGGAAAAGACGTGAGGAGCACCTGGAGTTCTTCTATGTTTATGTCAACTTTAGTGTGTATTGAAAAGAAAGCTGTTCAAGTCAGAAATGCAATTTATGTTTGCAGGGAGAAAAGGGAGCTAAAGGAGATGACGGCAAAACGGTCTTTAAATATTTTCTTTCTCCATCTAAAACATTTCAAAAGCTATATTTTAAGGAATATGTCTTAACTTTCTGTGTAATTTCAGGGTGACAAGGGAGATGCAGGTGTAAATGTACGTGGTTTTTAGAAAATTCCTTTTATTTCTTTTAGAACGAAGGTGGAGAGTGAGTTCTTTTTGTTTCTTACAGGGTAAAGATGGCAGTAAGGGGGAACCAGGACTCCCAGGATTGCCTGGAAAACAAGTCCTTGTAACTCCTGAGGTAAACAACACAGACATCCTGTTTCTAATTTATTAAAAATAAATGTGGTTGAGGAGGTGTGGTCATGATTGCTCGACATCCCTGCTGACATTGAAGACAAGACTGTTTAACATGTAAATAAAATTAAAAAGAAAGACCTGCAAATGACTGAATTATGATGCACAGGCAGAAAGATTTATCGCTGTTTTTTAATCTTATTTTGTATATTAAAAAATGAAATAAATGTGTTTATGTACACCCACATGGCTGATCTAATGGCAGGGTGCCACAATTGATGAAATCCGACAAGCATTTCCAATCCCAATGGGTCCTCCGGGAGCTACTGTGAGTTTGCTATTTATACACAACCTATTTCTGCATACAGCTCATAAATAATTGCATGTGATTTCTGCTGTTGCATGGTATAACTCACATGTTGAATGCATGGAATCTGAGTCAACAGATGGCAGAGTCTGTTATGTTAAAGTGTTTGCACTGGGTTGTGAATACAGTAATGGCTTGAGTGATGTCATGCACTGTATATGCATAAATGTCTCGCTCCTTTGTTTCTGTGTGTTCAGGGCTCACCAGGGATGAAGGTAGGAGAACAACGCTGTTTTTACTAAAGTTAAGTGCTCAAAAAAGTGGGAATTGGGTATTTATAGCTCATTTGTCATTTTTGCAGGGTGATAAAGGAGAAAGTGGCCTGAAAGGCGAGAAGGTAGGGATCAAAGCATCTCCACAACATGAATATGGAAATGGCTATTTTCACTGTATTTATGTCCGTATATCTGCAGGGTGATGCTGGAGATCCTGGAAAGTCTATAGAGATGAAGGTTGAATACAGTACATAATGTTCTATAATTTATCCTTTGGGATACATGTTTTCATTATAAATTAATAACACCTATTTCCCCTCCCTGCTTTAGGATATTGAGGTTATGTTTGAAACCTATGGAATAAGGGTGAGCTCTGATCATGACTACATGACATATATGTATATACATAATAATTTGATAATATGTAGTACCAATAATAAAGTAGAAGGAGGACATGGACTGACAATCTAAATTAAAACTTTTTTTTTTACATAGCTGCCTTTGCTGAAGGCTTTGATTGACAGGCTGCTGCAGGATGGAGTAGAGGAACTGCTTCATGTGCTCAGCACCTCCAAGAAAACAAAAGAGACTCACACCTCTAACGTCATTACAGAGCACACGGTAAATAAACTCTGGGAAGGAAGTAAAAGAGTGTTTTTTTTCTCATACACTGACAAAAAAAAAATACAATCTTTCTGCAAATAACAGGTGAAACAAATTTGTAAAAAAACACAGCTATCATGGACAATAGGACATTTCTATCTACAACTTTGACGAACTTTGTCAGTCTGTCATTTAAGATGAAAAATCTATTTCATATGTTTTGTTTTAAGAAGAGCTCGGTGAAGTATGACCTCAGCGGTCAGCCACTGACAGAGTTGAACAACCTTGGAAACCTTGATTTAGAGGCTCAGCTTCCTCAATCTTTGTCCACTGTAAGTCATTTTAGATTTTCTTTATATATTAATAAATGGTGGAAGGTTTTTACCTTTGTGATAAAGTGACCAAAACAGTTTTGCAGTTAAATTATGCTTTAGGAATGATAAAACTACACGAGTATTCAAGTGGGTTCTGTAAGAATTGAATTAGTAAGTTTTGACTTACTAGCTCCTTACTGGCTTCTATCTTCTGTTTTAAATGTTTTATTCTCTCTATCTCTTCCCTCTGCTTATCTTTAAAGAATCCTTTAAATAAAACTGCAGAGGGTCCAACCTTATGGACCGTCACTACGCTGGATGAAGAGGAGGATCTCAACCAGATTGAGTCTAAATCAAAGGGGAAGGAAACTGTAGAACGGAATAAGGATGAAGTGTCATCACTCAAAATGAATCTGACTTCAGTCAATTCTACTGTCAACTATACCACAATTGGGGAGGTGAGAACTTTATAAATACATATTTTCTGAAATTCAAAATATTTCCTTTTTTAAATGATTTGATATTAATACTTTAATTTAATGTCATTCAGCATTGAGATTAGGTATTTTTCTAATTTTTCTGCCATTATTGGTCTAACTTCTTATCAAACATAAACAAAAGCTACAAAATAGTAAGCATTTGATCACTAAATGAATTCAATTTATCTTAACAATTGGTCAAATTGTGCATAATTATAAAATCATATAAAATATTGAATATTAACCAAGATGTTTAATTTGGGGTCAGATTATATTACCCAACACATTTTCTGGCAAAGACAAAAGTCTGATATTTATACATTTGTTTTTAGACAGTTTCAGAGTTCCCTGAAACTGTAATGGAGACTGTTCTCCTCACAAAAGAAGACCCAATGAAGAAGATTTCATCACCAAAGAAGAAGAACAGGGAACGTGGGAAAGTAAAGCTGCCATGGCTATCTAATTAGATATGTATAAAAACATATAATAGAAAAACATAATCATTAGTTAAGAATAAACCTCCATAATGGAAGGACCACACTAGAGCTTTCAGGGTTTAAATTTTCACTTCCCACACAGAATTACACACAGACTGTCCTAGTGTCAGGTCATGTCTGCTGAGAAAATCAACAAAGATTCTAAAAAATATACAAACTTTTATTAGTTTGTCATGAACGCCATATTCAGAATATCTAAGCTAAATAACAAACTATGAATAAACATTAAATAAACATTCAGTAAACACTGCATTCGATAAATGTTACTGTTTCTTGTGCTAACATGAGAAGGATGTTACGACAACGCTATGTTGTGATAAAACTATCCAAAGCATGAAATTGTTTACTGCAATGGATGATTTGCCTCAAATGAGCCAGAAAAACTACAATCATGATGATGCCATGTTTCAATTATTCACGTTATCTCAAGTTAAATGATTTTTTATCATCATTTTACAAAACATTGAAAACACAGCCACAGTATGAGATGACTGCAAAGTAGTGGGAAAACATGGAAATCCCTAGTGTGGTCCTGGATGAATATAGATAACTTAAAACTGTTTAATGACATTTACAGATGTTAACTTTGTTAATGCAGCAGTGTTTTTTTAAATGTATTGTTATTATTGATAATCCTTAACTAATTAATTATCTCCCTCTTAATTGTCTTCCTAAACTCATCAACTGTAGTTTCATACTTCATGAAATAACTTCTGAAGCATGAGAATCTTTGATCTTTTTTTTTCTGATTGTGGACTTTTTAACCAGGGAAAAGGAAATAAAGGACGACATAAGAGGCAGAGGCAACGCCTGGTAAATGTCCTAAAAAAAGGGATAAAACTAAACCTGGAAACTAAATTTTGCTTTTGCCCCAGCTTAATAAAAACACTGACTAACACTTCATGCCCTGCAAAACTAAACACTTGGTTTGAGTAACAACTTTAACATGGCATTAACATAATGTGTGTAGAATTAACAGCTTTGTCTCTAAAACTTTAAGGAAAATCACTGGGAATTAACATATTGCAAATACTATGCAGTAAATTAAAATTAACAAGGTATACATTTAATGTGGCTGATCATATCAAAAGCATGCATTTGTCTTAAAGTTCATATGCTTTTCATTATAATGATAAGAGTATGAGCAATGGGTTGCTTTGTAATCGCTTGGCTTTGTTGTCTTTAAGTCATGCACATAGGATGTGTAAATGCCTGTCATTTTCCTCGAATAATTAATTTTTATGTTTATTGTAAGGTAACTGAAGACAACAAGTATGAAGAACAAGAAGAAGAAGAAGACGGACAAGAGGGCGAAGAAGAGTTTTATAATGGTGAAGACTACAGTTATGAATATGAGGTACACTGAATCAATCATTCAAGCATCATACAGGTTTTGCACACTCCTCTCTTAACAGCTTACTAACTCCATCCAGTTTCCTGTAAATCTTTTAAAGCACATCTCTGGGGATGCAAATATATCTGTGCCCACGTGAATATTAGAGAGTTGATTAACAACACACCCACAACCAGAATTTAATTATTAAGAATAAATTACTTTGTCACTGCAGCTCGCTTCATCTTCTCTGCATTCTGTGGGTTTGCATCTTTAAAAGTTGTGATGAGGGTATCTTTTTTACTCTCTTGAGCAGGAAGAACTTTCCCCTGGTGATCCAGCAGAGTCTAAGAAGAGGGCTGAGAACACAGAGGTACATTTGCACCACACAGGATCTCATCTGTGTCAGCTGGACTGAGTATAGATATTCTCAATGTTTATGTTAACTTAAGATGTATTTTTGTTCACATTCAGCTTGAAGTCCAGCCCAATGAATCCTTTACTGCGATGGGTAACATGGTAAACATTTATAACTGTATCTCACAGGTGATAACAAACCATTTCGGCACTGATGGACAATGATAGTACAACTCAGCTATACTCAGCTCTGTTGTACCTGAGGAATAAGAATATGTTTATGTTCTTTCTCATGTAGGAAGGACAATTGCCCACAGACATTCCTGGCCAGTTTGAGTTCTCCAGTCACGCTCTCACATCAGACAGAGAAACAGATGCAGAGGGAATTATAAATGAGGTATGGTTTCTCCTCATATTTTAATTCCAAGTGTCCATGTAGGATTACCTTTTCTGTCCAGGGAATATATCTGTTATATTTGTGATCAAAGTCATTCTTAAGATTTCCAACCCTTTTGATTTTTTTTTCAGACTTTCTCTAAAAAACAAATTAAACAGCACAATCGTGTTTGCTGTTTTTCAATAAGTGTTTCTCGTGGTAGTTCACCTGTGCCCAACTGAATTTGATGGGCAGCATATATTTTGCCAGAAGGGAAAAAGATCAACATGTTGTAAAAAGAAAAATAGGTGAGATGGACATATGCAGATTATCAATGTTTTCTCTTTCTTGTGCTCCCCTCAGAGTATCCTGACAACAATAGAACCACCTTCTCAAACTACTGATGACATAAATGAGGTAAGGGGGAAAGTTTCTCAGAAACCTGACACATTTTCACTCGGTATTGTGGATCACTGTGTCCTATTTTCCCAACCAGGGTGAGGTAACACTGCCCATTCCCCCAACTGCAGCAGAAGAAGCAGATAAGGTAGATTTCTGTCTTTGTATTTATGGATGCTTAAATCTAATTGAATGCTTCCTAATATCCTTGCATGCCTTGGAATGCAAAACTTTATTCAGCCTTACACACAGGATGAGAAGAGATGGACAAGTGCTTGAGTTTAATTAAGGATGGGCTTTGTATAGTTTACAATAAATAGTTTTGCTTTGACTGTAAGAAAGCTAGCACTTGTCCTATTTTGAGACCTCTTGTGTCCACTTCCAAAGAAAATTTCACCAGTTCAAAACAGTGCACGTGTTTATATCTCACCAAGATAATCACCAAGCACTCAGTGTATTTGCAAACTTTGCCAGCGCATGAGACAGGAAAGCATTTTTGCGCAGCTTGCTTTTCGCATGAAGCTTATCCGAATGGGAATGAGCAGAAATTGTAGCCTAGTGCAACTTTTAGGAAATTAGTCCCTTTAAAAAATCCTTTTAATACTTTTTCTCTCTCTCATTTTCTTCTGAACAGGAAATCTCTTAATTCCCAAGAGACTGAAACTGTAGAGTCTTAATCATTCATAAGAATGAACTACCTGAAGAGTGTGAATAAACTGTGAGAATCGTTTCTGTGGTGAGGAGTCCTGAACCTGACCGACATTTCTTGAAGGGGTCCCTTTGTCCACACAAAGACAATCTCAAGCATCCAGCCTTATGGCCTGAAAAACGTTAATTTCTTTGGACTGTTACAGAAATACAGACTTGTTCTGTTAAGTTCAAGATCTCAGTTTAGTTGTTTTGTTTTTTGGTGATTATTCAATTTGCCCAATGTAGTCTTGACTTTGCTGACCTTACAATATGAGCTCCTAATTTATTTATTACAAAAATGTTTCTGTAACTCATACAGATTCTATTAATCTTGTGCTAACATCTCAATTAATTATTTACTTTTGCTGTTTTGTTAGAAGATTTTATTTATTGAACAATGGAGAGATGTTTTTTTGTTTTACCTCAACAAAGTCTTTGGATACCAATGACCTTACACAGATTTAATGGTATTGTGAGCAGTTGTGTGGACAGATAAAACACTCTTTTCACTGGTGAAATTTTCCATTCATTGCATTGTCTGTTTTAACCTCTCTGCATGTATTCTAAAGTAAAAAAGTGTTAAAATAACTTCATCAGCTAGTCTGTGGTCTTTTTCTTGACACTGGGTTTTCTTTCCTCACCACAAATCCTATCAACTACAATCAACAGCACAATTGAATACACAAATGTGGGGCTAAATGTGCTAAATAAAAGTTCTGGGGGACTTTACAGGTGCATCAACTTCAAATCAGAGTAAAAAGAGCCACCGCCTGGCTTGACTCCACGGTAAGTGTCAAATGATTCTATTCTGAGACATTAGGAATAAATTATGATTAATAATAATGAATCATTCATTTGAATATATATATATATGTATTTGATAGGTCTTTATGCCAGGTGCTCCGGGTGGAAGAAATAGGTTCAAGGAAGCACAAAAAGTAAAATAAATAATTAATTCTTGATGTCTACTTTTTTCTTTAAAAATAAATTCCACAAAACATAAAAAAGCTACTTCTTGGTTACTTTGAAGTGCATTTGAGATTTTCAACTTGTTTTCTATTTCAGTATCAGTCCTCGGGAGCTCAAGGTTACAACACCCGGAGTGTAAGTTTGTAGTCAGCACTGTGTTACGCAAAGATTTAGCATGATTCATCACTGCAATTATAAATTCTTATAAATACGATGGTTTGTCTTATGAAACTTTTTTTTCCAGAGCATAAAGAATGATAACCCCAACTTCCAAACAAATAGTCAAAGGGAGAGTCAGGAAGGTGGAGGGAAACAAGGATATAGTAATACAGAAAGAGAGACTCTTATAGAAAAACATGATGAAGAAGAGAGAGAAATGGAAGAAGGGGAAAAAGTTGACTCAGACGGATATTCAGAAACAGAACTTGATCCAGTCTATGAGGAAGAGGAGAGGAGTGGAGACTATGAATGGGAGACGGAGGAAGATCTTGATCGCGAGGGAGAAGGGGAGGAGGAGGAAGAGCTGGTGCTGGAGAGCCAAAGAGAGAGGGAACGATTGGAGATGGAGAGAGAAAGAGAGGAGCTGGAGAAAGAAAAGGAGAATGAATTGGAGATTGAGAGGGAGAAAGAAATGGAGGTGGAGAAGACAGAGCGGGAGCCAGAGAGAGATATAGAGAGGGAGAGGGAGGAGTGGGAGAGGATGAGAGCAGAGATGGAGAGGGAGCGAGGGGGAGGTTACAATGAAGAAACTGGGCAGCCATACCCCTATTCTCCAGGGTATTTTTTACTTAAGGTAAGAATACAAAGTAAACACCCGTATGTATGTTTGGTGCACAAATATTAGCCAAATAAGAAATAAACAATGAAAACCGTAAGATGCCAGTTATGTCATTTTTAGGTCAACAGTCTCTGACACATAGTTTTAAACGTGCATTATTTTCCCTGCGTCTCATGTTTGAGAAAGACCTATGCGATAAATGTCAGGTCATTCTTCAGCTATTTCTGAAGCTTCAGCCTATGAGCCTATGTTCAGTGTTTCTGTGCTATTTATTGGCACTGTAACTGAGAATGTGCCATTTTGTATTTATGGATATGAAAGTGCAGCGTAGTTCTGGAGTTTGAGATCTTGATTTTTGTATAGATCAGTTTAAGTTTCTTTGTTTTATTTATTTGGGTTTGGGATAACATCTGAAATATCTTAGACGTCCAAAATGTAAGCAACCCCTTAAATCGTCATTCATCAAGATGTGTTAAAATATGAATATGAAGATGCATTAAGTCATTTTATGAATATTGACAAATAAGTTTTGCCTCTTGTTAAAAAAGGGGTAAGTGTTAATTTTGCCAATAAAACACTGTTTACTTCATACGTATTTCCCTTTCAACAGGGACAACAAGGTGAGAATGGAAAACCAGGAACAAAGGTGACTAGATATGAAACCATTTACTGTATATAAAACAATTCTGGAGATAAACAACGCCAAAATCCCCTGACACCAAAATCTTGCCCTCGCAGAATTATTATCACTTCCTACCGATCAAAGAATTAGTTACTGTTGGATGCAAGAGACTAGCTTTTCCTTAGTAACAATATTGAACTGACATTTTAAATCCAAGACTCTCATGATTCTCAATTTCATGGACATTGTCACACTGATTACACTGTAAGCATTTCTGTCGTCAGCATGGAGAACGAGGCAAAGGCTGACATTCGCCACATGAAATGTGCCACCACTTCATGAAAATCTCATGACTCCTCTGCTGCCTATCCACATAGCATCAGTAAATGACATCAGAGCGTCTCTCTCGTCTTGCCTGTCAGCAACGCCATTTGAGTCCAGGCCTTTGATGTCCTTTCTACTCTATTTCTGTATGACTGTGAGACAGTAGATTAAAGCATGCATTAATAATTCTCCTTGTTAAACATGCTGACAAGTCTCGTTTTTTATTTCAAGTTCCTCTGAGTTTGCTTATTTGGACACATGAAAAATCTGCGTCATGGTGCAGTGTAACTTTCTAACTATACTCTTTTTTGTGCACTTTTCAGGGGGAAATTGGTGAGAAAGGACAAAAGGTAAAACTGCAGTGAGGATTTTGTTTGAAAAAAACATATTTTGCACATGTTTAACTGTACTACAATACCAGAACTGGATGAGGCAGATATGGATCATATTTCTGCTTTGTGTTTTTCAGGGAGAGCCAGGCATCGGTCACAGAGGTCCAGAGGGTCAGGCAGGTCCTCCTGGACAGAAGGTGACTTCCAGCCCAACTCACTAAAAATGTTAACAGGAAAGAGAGAAACAACCTACCGATGGCAAGAGCTTCCTGGAAAATCAATTAATCCCTGCAGCCCTTGATAACATTCACTTTTGATTGACTTTGTTCCTCATTGCAGTTTAATTCAGGGAATTTAATTGGCCCTCTGACTCACTCCCTCGTTTAAAGTTGTGGTGCAGCTTTTAATTTGATAAAGGCAAGAAGGACTCGAATGGAAAGCAATTATTCAAATGTATTAAAAGAGCCGAATAATGGCATTACACGGGACAAGTGATCAACAACTGTGTTTGTCTCCTAAACATTCAGTTTGTCTCTATTTTCCATTCTCTTCTGAATGCCTGTCATTGTGCTACTGCAGGGTGAGCCGGGTGAGCCAGGGCCTCCTGGTGCTCAGGGCATCCAGGGTATCCATGGGAATCCAGGTATTCATGGATCTCCAGGACTCAGAGGTCCCCCGGGAGACCCTGGAGAGCCAGGCAGAGAGGTACAGCATCCTATAGTTCTACAAAAAAAAAATTCCATCCATATAAAGAGTTAATAAACATGTTACATGCTATATTTGTTGTGTCGACATAGGGTGAGCGGGGGAAAAAAGGGAAGAACGGAACACCAGGTGGTCCAGGACCTCGCGGTGCCGCAGGACCAGATGTATGACTTTACACATCATCTTGTAGTGTATTTATGTTTCATAGTGTTTAGTCTAATAGAAAGTCACATCTTATTTTTTAAAAACAATTGATTTTTTTTTTCATTTTTGGGTTTGACTGATTTCTGTCTTAAACAATATTTAATCCTCTTGATTTCTTATTGCACCTCTTCACCTCTAACAAGGGTTTCCCTGGTGTGCCAGGAGTAAAAGGAGAAAAGGTTTGTACAACATAAACAGCTTCATTACACAGTCCTGCTTAATAGTCTTTACATTTTTGTTTTTTTTACTCTGCAGTTCACTCAAACTTTCTGAGTTTGCATTTGTTGTTCATTCCATTATCACATCATTATTTCAACTTTCCCTGTGTGTCTTTCATAATTAGTTTTTGTGCTACTTAAGATAACAGTCGTGTAAAATAGATCAATTTAAATTCTCAAATTATCATCATTAAACTGAATAATCAAATGAATGTACCTGTCTTGTTTTCATCAGGGTGACAGTATTCCAGGTGAGCCTGGAGCCAGAGGACTGCCTGGTATCCTGGGGAGACGAGTGAGTTGCATGTCTACCACTGTACCATCCTTTACCCAATCATCCTTGTTTAAAAAAACGTTATCGTTTTTCATCTTTAATGTAGTAAAGATTTTCAATTTCAGGGTGACAAAGGCACTCCAGGAGTTAAAGGGGTTCCTGGTCATATTGTGAGCAGTTTTTTCATTGTTTTGCTATTGATAATAAAGTTTTATTTATACATTTTTCTATTAGATAGTCACTTTGACATCTTTTTCAACCAGGGTCCCAAAGGTGTACGTGGAAGCAAAGGTGAAAAGGTGAGCAGTCGTCGACATACACTACTGTTGTGTTTGGAAGACTGTCAGTTAGCTTTCATATCACTCGTATTCTCTCAATGGAAGTGTCACAAATGAGGTGTTGCTGACAGTAAGATTTATTCATGACACTCATTCCTGTCAAATACCACACATCCCAGGTCATGTTGTGTGCAACAACTTAGAGACATGTTATGGAGTATGCTCAAGATCATACTGTTATATGCTGCTGTGACTATGCAGAAGCCTGAGGTATAATGTAATCCACCTTGACATCTGGGATTGAAATAGTCTTTCTTGAGAATGAATTTGATTTAAAAAAAGGTCTAATTGCAGGGAAATCGTGGGTTGCCAGGAATCAGAGGAGACAGGGTATGTGATCGTCTGTAAATCTATGTTAGCACATATGTTGACCCTATATTGTTTTGCATATTGTGCTTAGGGTATGATGATATCATTCTACAGGGAAGTGTTCTTCAAATTCAAGGACCTCGGGGATTCAAGGGCTCCAAAGGGGAGGCGGTAAGATCCTCTTTAATCTGTTCTCAGTTTAACTTTTGTAAATCAACTAAACTTTCCTAAAAAAAACCATACAGAAATGTTCTTTGGCAGCACTTCTAAGGTCAATGCAAGGAAAATCCAATCAATCAGACCTTCGTCTAGAAAGTTAGTCTGAAATCTGAGTTTACATAAAAACTTAAATATCTTTTCTCAGACTCATTAAATCATCCAATAACATTCAAGAGGTTAAACCTCCTCCAGTATTTGTTGAAAATGATTGGCTTTGTCCCGTGAGGCAACTTAAAAAACATTACTACCAGTAAGTGTACCACACTGGCAGAGCTTAAAGCTTGAAAGAAAATAAATTAATCGTTTATTACCTTGGGCTTTTGTGCATAATATTTCTTATATTTCTTCAGCCTGGTCAATATAGCAAATGATTAATAAATGAAAACCGAAAAGCAATTTTAATGGAAAACATAAAAAGCTAAAGGCTTGACAGCTAAAAATAAGATGTGCTTAGAGTAGAATTGAGTGTTTTAATGACTCATGTGAATATCCAAACATCCATAAGCATAAACAAATCCAAAAAGACATTCAAAAGACTCCTCTGGCAATACAGTCCACTTTTTTTTTTAAATCTATAATGTGATTTTTCAGAAAAACACTATTTGACTTTTGAAAAGACCCCTGGTGAGTGAAATCCTGCTAAATAGATTTTGATACCTCAAAACAAGTATAAGAGTCTCAACCTTGTGTCATGCCACCAGTTGATTTGAAATAAAAAATTGAAAAATTGAAATTTGAAGTTAAATTGAAAAGATCTGTATTTGTTTCATATGAAACAATGCAAACGTATTGATAATGGTTCTAAACATAATGATAATGATTCTAAATGTATTGATAAAGCCATATGGTTCTAAACTTGATGTTATGAAGTTATATGCATATGGTCTCTTTCCATGCCCCGTATTGAACCATGGAATAATCTTACTTACATTAAAGATGCAAATCATGACAAATATACAGTAACTACATGATCAAGAAATAAATAAGAAAATTTACATTTTTATTCAGGGAGAGCGGGGTCCTCCCGGCTTTGATGGGGATAAAGGAGAGAAGGGCGAGGATGGTCCTCCTGGAGTTAAGGTGACTAATCCTGATAACATCATTGAAAAGAAATATTTTTCTTACCAAACATACAGCCATAAATTACTTGTCATCTTGCTTTATACCTCAATTATTCAGCTGAAAAGCATTCAAAAGCATTTAACATATTGAATTCTTCTTCTAAAAGGGCCTTAAAGGTGATGCAGGCACTAAGGGTGCGCTGGGGCGCTTTGGAGCACGGGGGCCAGTTGGCCAAAAGGTAAGTCAGGGAAGATGGAATATTTTTTAAACCGAATGTTGGTGGTGCTATGGATGAAATGCTATGTTTTTCCACAGGGGGATCCAGGAGTGCCAGGACTTAACGGAGTGATGGTAAAGTCAAACACGCATGTTTAGTCATTTCAAACTTCTGTTAGGCCAATTATTCCAATTCGACCCAATTTCAGGGACGCAATGGAGACAATGGAAAGGATGGGGCCAAAGGGGACACTGGAGATGTGGGTCTGCCAGGCCAGAAGGGCAGTCAGGTAAGCAAAATATGCAGCACTAGTCCTACTGTTTTCAACAATTCGGATGTTTTTTGCAGTAACTAAGTTATATTTTGTGCCAGGGGGATGCTGGGGAACCTGGTTTACCGGGTGACAAAGGGGAAAAGGGCGAGAAGGTGATCACAGCTACCTTATTTTCTATTATTATTATTGTTATTATTATAAATAAATTGTCAGCTTTCCTTCTGGATTGTCCTTGTGTTAATTCGGCTCATATTTTATATAAATTCTCAGGGCTTCAGAGGTTTTCCTGGAGGCATTGGGAGTCCTGGTCAAGATGGACAACAGGTTAGCCTTAAGTTATATACGATCAAAAATTGTTAAATACTATATGGGAAAACTACATCTATTAGAATCTAACTCATTCTATGTCTGTGTGACAAATAAGGGAGATGCAGGTTTACCGGGCAGCCCAGGCATACCAGGACTGAATGGATTCACAGGACGCAAAGTAAATATTCAGAGGTGGACATAGGTTTTTTTGGTCCCAAAACAAGTTAAGACTTACTTTATCTTTTTCATAAATTTTAGGGGGACAAAGGAGAAGAGGGAATGAAAGGTATTGATGGTGATCCAGGAGAGAAAGGGGGAAAGGTTTGTGATTGTGTTGTGCTTTCTAAACAGTGGGCCTCAGACCTGTGAATTTAATCACTGCAAGAAGAATTATGGTATTTAAATTAACTCTTTTCTCACTTTAGGGTTCAACAGGTTTCCCAGGTTTTCCAGGTTTTAAAGGGTCAGCAGGAAGCCCAGGAAGGGTTGGAGTCAAGGGACCACCAGGACCACCAGGTGCTCGTGGGGACACGGGGCCTAAGGTACCTCATGCCCACCTGTGGCTAATTAAATCTAAACTTTTGCACCCTATCAGCATTTAGAAATACCGGATGGCTCATCCATGACAACAATTCTAATCAGAAACACTTACTAATCTTCTCAAGATACAGTTATTTGACAGTAATGTGTTGTGAGCTGTCTATATCAACCAGTAAAGGATGCTCTTAATGAAAGTTAAATACTGTGTGGTTCAGTTCAACTTTGCATTCCTTTTCCATACTTTCATATCATACAATTCCATTTGCATTTCATGGAAAGACATCAATGACCTTTTTTTTTATTTATTTCAAAGCATATTATTGAGAACTTGAAATAAAGAACTCAAAGTACAGCGCATTAAATTGATCTAATGTGACCCAGTGGGACTCTGTTAGCATTACTATATTAGCTATGTTTGACTCAGTGAGTCAATAGTGCTTTTTTTCGTCATCATCTTACGTCTATGAACCCACCTTGTTAGGACGAAATATGTGGTGGAAGACGTGGAGGATGAGCAGAGCTTGATTACAGTCATCATTGTGTCTTAGTGAGAGACTGGCAGCAAAGACATGTCCCCAATTAACATGCACGCACACAGAGGTCTATTTCTGTTTGGAGCCTTCAAGTAATATCTTACTCAATTACATCCTTTCAGCTACAATTACCAGACTCACTGTGTTGATAAAGGGTGGCTTGAAACCTCTAATGAGGATATTTTTAAGATGTACCTGATTGATCTGTCCTCCCTTCTGTTTAGAAATGAGTAATTTGATATGCTGTCATACAATTGTTCTTGTACTTACAAGAGTATGAAGTGAGTGTTTTGTCAAAACAGTGTGTCACTGAGCCCACTTTGACTGTGATTGAACAGGGGGAGAGAGGGAGAAGAGGCAGATCAAAGCCCTGTCAGAGGGGAGTACCAGGGACACCGGGACTAAGAGGAAAAAGTGTGAGATTCATGTCTGAGCATACACCACCGAGTTTACGCAAATCATTTTTTATAATTCACAAGTGATCATAAGGTGCATTCATTTTTCTATCACAACACATTCAGTCTGATTGAGCTTGAATGTTTCTATACAGAGGAATTTGCCAAACTTACATAGAAAATGTGTGCCAAATGTGGGTACGGCTAGGTACAACTATTGATGTCTAACCAACAATTTTGGCCAGTGTTTTATTCAACAATTAACACAGCAGTTGTGTCACCTTAAGCTTATCCAATGAGTTATGTGCTGATAAAACATAGTTTCACTCTTTGGTGAGTGTGGAATATTACAAAATATGTACATATTTCAGATCATTTCCATCAAATTCCAGTGTTGACAAAAAATATTAGTACATGTAAAGTTGGATAATCTGGAGATTTGTTGAGAAGACTTTTGCCTTTGTATTCCTAAATCTACCCTGGTTCCCCCGGGGACTCAAACCCAGAACCGTCTTGCTGCGAGGCGATACTGCTAACCACCACACCACCATGCCGCCATGTCAATTCGGGTTATCTTTAAAAATAACAATGTTTATTCCTGATAGGGTGCAAGTGGTACTGAAGGAGTTAAAGGGGAAAAAGGAGACCCTGGACTCTCAGTAAGTCAATTGCACATGGCTGATATGGGCAGAGATTAACAACATTAACTGGTCACTATAAAACTGACCACCATCTTTTTCTGTTTGAAGGTGGAGGAAGTGAAGGAGCTTGTCACCCAGGAGATGGTAGAAAAATGTGGTAAGATTGTGCTCACATTGGTTGTGGGTGTTGTGCTGTACATTTTGAACCCATTACAGTTTAAGGTTGTCATTTTGTTCTTCAAATTGATCCTAGAGTGAGCATGCACGTGGCACCTCACAGGCCTATATATTGTGGGTGTGTGCTTGTGTGTGAGGTGATTTGTTGTGGAGCTCCTGTGGCAGCAGCGAGGCACCCGCGTGTGGAGCCATCTGTTATGTTCTCTCAGAGGAACACACGCCACGGTGCCAGCAACGCACCAGCCATTCAGAAACAAGAGGCTGCCATTAAGAAGGATGCCTCCCCAAGAACCCACGTCGTGTTCAAGACACTTAGAGGATTATTTTGCTTTGTGTCAACGTGTCTGTGACACCTTGTCCTTACTAAAAACATTTTGGCATGCCACAGCAGAGAAGCATGGCTCGAAATAAATGAATATCATCATTTGTCAAAATTGTAAGATCACTGACATAATTGGTGTGTGGCACCACTGGTTAAGCTTAGATTTCATAAATAATTCATTTTCTTATTACTTGAATTATTAGAATGACCGAACATTTGAATTCAATCCAACTCAGTTGAACAATGCCTGACACTAGACATTAATATCAATAACAACATTTTTATCTTTATCTGTTTTTGCGACTTTGCAGGTGTGGAATACAAGTTCATCGTAAAGTCTGTGGATCCAGATGCATCAACTCCTGTAACTGGGAATACAAATAAACCAAAAGAAAAAGCGATCTCCGACCGCAATGACCCGCCTGAAAATAGGATGGCAGAAATAGATGGAGATGTTGAAGGGGAAAGTGATAGAATGACAGTTCCTGCTGTTTGGGAACTTGAAGAAGAAAGGATGTTAACAAACCAGACTGGTAAGAAGGACGGATGCCTTAACTGGAGTGTGACCGAGTTTGTGGCAAAATGACCACAAAGCTTTGTCTTATTTGGAGCAATAGTTATTAAGCTAATTATTGAATAATAATCAGTTATTCTAATTCTTCTAGTTCTTGCCTCAGGTTAAAAAAAAAGGCAAGCAATTAAACAATTTACAAATTAAACAAAGCACATTACTGTCACTGCCCAGTGTCAATGTCGGCTTTTTTAATTATGAATGTCAATTCATAGCGTTGGCTTATTATATGTAAAATAATAATGAGAGCAAAAATAGTTTTAGACAGAGACACAACCAAACACAAGCCCACCCTACGGGGCAAGCTGACAGACAGGATTCATCTGTGGGTTGCAGAGGATTAAGACTGCAAAAACGCTTCAGAAGAAACAATACTGGAAAAATCACTTGATCTGAACCAGAAGCATTTCTTTGACTTCCATGGCCTTTTCTGCATTTTAGTTCAAGTCATGTTAAAAGCTCCACGGCGATGGAGACGTTGTAGCTGGCATGCTATGTAATAATAAGCACAATTTACAACCAGCCTTCTGATATGACAGGAAATTTACTTGTTGATATCCATTGTTACAATGACACATCACAATCCCAAATCCATTCACATTTTGTGGCTGTCAGCTAAGTGTTAACCTTAAGTTGCTTGAAAGGTGCACAGCATGGTCTTCATGTCAGCCTCTCGTCACTGGTTTAGAATTGTATGCACATGTTGCCAATGCCGTCACTAACACAACATGCTCAGTGAGTCTTAACTGTCTGGTTTTGCTGATTATGTTGAAATCTCATGCATGTATATTTTCAAATAGAGGATTGGATTACTTCACTGAATATTACCTATCTGTGTAAATGCCCCTCTAAAATTAAATCCATAGGTTCAGTTGTGTTATGCTCACACTTGCTCAATGCAACAATATGGTTTAATTTGAGTGATCGAATTGGATTTCTCGTAACTTAAACGTTAATTTATGATTCTCCTGGAGGTTTGTCGCATGCCAGCAGCACACATTTAGGAATAAATCAATAAATAGTTACTCCTTAAATCCCTCATATGGGCCTGAAAGTAATCAAAATGCTGCTGGCTATCTTTAAGTGGACGTCCAGTGAGAGTGACTTTTCCTTGGTCATTGATGGTCGAGTCTAGGAAAGTGTATAACTTGTCCTGTAATGCTTCTGGCTATAGATTCTCAAAAAGGACAGGACGTGGAGTGGGGACGGAGAAAGAAAAGAATGTCATTTGGGAAAAAGCATTTTGGTGAGTAGCCAACAGATTTTCTTCTTTCCGTCTTTACTCCTTCCCAACTCACTTCAAACCTTTTGATAGCAAATTGATCGCACATCTATATGATGTTAATGAGTTGGAACAATTAAGATGGGAGAGTGTAGAAAGAGCTGAGTTAAATCCTTAAGATTTAATTCTCTCCCAGATTTCTTGGATAATTGCTATATGCAGTGTTGCATGTTATTAAAACAAATTAATTAATTCCCCTAGGGTTGGTCCAACATAACACTTTGGTATCCGGAAATGAAATGAAGAAAATGAATCATTCTTTAGAGTCTTTGCTCCAGACGTCAGCAGCAAATATATAAAGTAAATGACTGTTATATGTATAGAAATGTACTCTTTCTTTAGTTTTTTTTTGTCACTTGCCTTACATGCAGTCTCAGCAACAGGCCGCTGCCTGGAGCCCATGTCGGAGGGGGCCTGTTCAGACTACGTCCTGCTCTGGTACTTCCACGGCCAGTCGGGGGAATGCAGACCGTTTGTGTACGGAGGCTGTGGCGGCAACCAAAACCAGTTCTCCTCCAGACAGGAGTGTCTGAGTTGGTGTGGGATGGAGAGAAAAGTGTCAGATCACACGAGAAATGTCCCTTCGAACAGCTGATGTAGTGACTGAAAAATCCAACCCATATGGAGATGCATTATGGAAACATTATGGAAACTTATTCTGAAGTCCTGAAAAACAGTCATTCTTGTACATAACTTTGTAAAAATATAACAGCTTTGCATTTTCATTGCTTGTATTTATAGTTTTTATGAGAACAGCTGTTTTTTTTACTTGTTCTACAGCAAAGGTTAGAGATATTTTGACCAAAACAAAATGATTCTTTTGTGTTTGCATATTTCTCTTTTTTGTGATTTGAGACCGAAAGATTTAATCTGCCTTAACATTTAGGTTTGTGCCCCGTTTACATCACAGTCACCTTTCCTATGCTTACCATACATCTTGTGCACTGCTAAAATGCGGAGCTGATGGCTGATTGCCTGCTTCCTCCTCCATGCCTACATATGCTCCTTTGGTGGGGGGTGTCGTGGGTCAGGCTGAGAGCCAGATGAGGGGCCAACGGGGGCCCAGTGTCTCTCCATCAGACCCACAGCAGTGGCAGGGGATTCCTACCTGGGTGTTTGTGTGATGGGAGGAAATCTGTTTAATTTATTTATTTCAACCATTTAAAAAAATCACTAGTTAAACTCAAACGCTGCCACAGGTGGGGGTTCTCAAGAGGGGGTCGCAGTGTTATTTGCAAATCTCATGTCAACAGTTATATAATATGTCTAGTTTAATTGATTTCATGGTTGATTACTAAAAATATTCATCTTAAACAGACAGGGGAGTCTTTCATGAACAAGCTCCCTCAGGCTTCCCTCATATTAGTCACGATTCTGCACTGTGAAGTACTCCCACATGTTAAGAGGCTTCACAAATCAGCCAGATATGTTTAGATTTAAAAGCTCTTTTGTGTGAGCAGTGAGACATGTTAAAATTTTCATAGCTTTTCCAACGCAGGTCTGGTTATACATGAGACAATCTTGGCTTTTTTTTTTAAAACAAATTAATATTGAACAATGTTGAGCCTTGCAGCAGCATGGTTTCAAATCTTCAGTATGTCTCTGTTATATTAGCCATTCATTAATAGATAAACAACAAGAAAAAAGGCATTTTCTCATATACCAGATCTCTAATTCTTAGACACTGACGCAACTTTATAGACGTCATCCTTAAAGAGAAGCATATTCAGTTATATTCAATTATATGTTATTGACATATAACTGGATGCATATGATACATAATCAGGAAAGGAGATTATAACTTACTGACTGTACTGAAGGATTTGTTTAGGGATACAAATGTAATGGCATTTATATTGTTTTACATGCTGGACCTTCATTTAGAAGTTATTGTACAGACAATAAAGTGTGCTGTTCCAATGATAAAATTGATCCGGATGCCTTCCCAAAATCTAACATAAAACAAGGCTCAAATGTTACAAATGCTGAGGTTCTAAAACTTAGAACTTGCCTTAGGCAAAGAATGGCTAGAAGTGACTTTATAAATTAATTAAGGCAAAACACTCTATTTAACATTTCTAATATTGTACTAATTCAACTGCAGATGTTTAAAATTGAGGGTATTTCTCAAAAAGAGAAGATCAAAATTAATTGGAAGGATTTAAATGATATTGTCTTACTTTTTATGGGTTTAACTAAAGTTGAAAGGCGTGTTTTGCTGGCCAAGAACTGTGGTGGTAAAGATCATAAAGCAAACTATCTGACCTCACCTCTCTGACAACGTGGTGCTCAGGAGAACACATAGCACACAAATACAACCCATTATAGAGGTGAATTTATATCAAAGAGGAACAGATGAGCACCCACCTAAAGTAACTTAAAAGAGTTTGAATCAGCATCAGTTTAATCAACACGTGAAGCTGAAGAGGGGCATGTAATTCCATTTTAAGAATCACAGTAAATGAGCAGGAGTGGGAGGACATCTTGTTGCCTACTGTGTCACAGTAGGTGATTAATCCAGCTGTGAAGACTTAAATTCATAATGAAATAGAATGAAGTTCCTCATTAGAGCTTTACCCAACACTTCTTTGACGCCATCTCTCCTATCATGTTCTTTTTCATTTCCATATTTTAATATACATCGCCGCAGGTGGTTCTAATACTTCAAATGTGCATCCAGTGTTTGTCAAAACACTGTGTTCTTTACCTATTCTGACAGAAGTGGCATATTTTAAAACAAACATCTTAAAGCAGAGTGAGTTGTACATACGCTGGTGTCAGTCACACATTTCAGCTCCTGGCTCCAAATGAAACTAAATTCATATTTGAGTGAACATTGTTTCGACATGAGTGGACATAAAATTGATTTCCATGCAGAAAACTGATGCATTATCTCATTTATATCACATGCTACAACTGATTTCTGATATGGATGACAATGCTCCTTATGTAGTTTCAACACCATGTCAAAATAACACTCAGGAATGAATGACGGTGGAAATAGTGTCAGTGTGGATGCACTTCTGGGATGAGAGATTCTCTGTCTGATCTGACAGTGTCTTAGAATACAAAACTCTCACTTTAACAAAGTTTGACATCCCAAATGAAAAATGAAAAAATGGCACAATATCCTGACACTGTTCAACTTCTACTAATTATACTCAGATGTTAAAGAAACTAGAGAAAAAGGCTTATTTGAGGACATAATGTTTCTTTTTGTGTATTGGTCTACAGACTCTTTGTCTTTATGATCACTCCATCTAGACAAAGACGTTGGTGATTCCGGAGCAAAATCACAGTCATTAAACTGGCACACAAAAAGCCTCCCTTTTCTCTTCTACATCACGTCTATTAATCTCTGAAGTCACCATTCATATAAATGATTCGCTTTTAAGGTTTCTGTTGGCTGAACTAGAGACATATAAATGACTTTAGGTGTCCAAACATCAAAAACTATACAGTCGTGCATGGTGATAATAGAGTCTGTCAAATCCACTCATCTGAGAATAAACAGCGAAAAATCATTGGTTGGAGCTGTCCGTGGTGCTGAAGAAGTAACCCCACCAACGCGTCATGAAGCCCACGTTTGATCCCAGCGTGCATTTCAGCACGTGAAGCCAAAGAGGGAAATCTGGCTCAACGTGAAGAACTGAAGGATTTCACTGTCGTGATGCCTCAAGTCTAAAAACTGGAGGTCATAACTTTTTTCTAATGCCTACATCACAGCAACATAACCAATGGGAAGGCTCATGGGAAACCAAAATGTCAACGAGATGACGTTGTTGCTGGCGTAGGGCTGTAGTTTGATGGCCAATACTAAACGGATGCAGTGGGAATGGACGAGTAAGTCAGTCTGCCGGTCAGACAGTGCGCGCTGCTGACCCTCTAACGAATTCCTAGGTTTTTTAAGGAACTATTGTTGGGATCTCGCCTGAAGATTTTTTCTTGTTGGCTTCTCCTTTCCAGGATTCGCTTTGGTCGCCCAGTCCAACCGTATCTTTTGGCAAGGAGTGGTAAGAAAATGTTTCATCTTGTGACTCAGCTGCCCTGTCTCTGTTTTTCCTTTTTTGAACTCTAAGAAAGAAACCAAGACCCTAATAATCAAACTAACACAAATCTGATTATTCTTAGTAAGATATTAGAAATGTAATAGCACGATTTCTGAAATACTTAACAGTACAATGCGCATTTTCCTGTAAGTTTTCACTTAAGTTTTGGATCCTTACAAACCGAGTAACAATCTTATGTTGTACTAAGCTGAGAAATATCCACAGTGCTCTGCTTTAATCTGCTCTGCGTTGGCCCCGTAGGACACAGGATGCTGTCGTCCCTGAAGACCCTGCTGTTGCTCTCGGTCCTGTGCGCACCGACCTCCAGCATGTGCCTGCGCCTGCACCACACCCGCTCCGATCACCTCCTCTGCACTGACCACATGGCAGTCAGGGTCCGGAGCCACGACAGCCCGCCCGGTTACTCCTCCGTGGACGGTTGGGGGTCCCTCACGCAGTTGGCGGAGTATCTCACCTCCTCCTCCGTCGACTCCAGTAGGGAAAAAAGGACTTCAAGTCCCGCAAACTACCGCTTCATGAGCCGGACCAAGCTCAGAGGTCAGATGCTCCGCAACAGCAGCAAAGGGGACCGCAGGAGCAGGCTGACCCTTTCCCTGGATGTCCCGACCAACATCATGAACGTCCTGTTCGATGTGGCCAAAGCCAAAAACCTGCGCGCCAAGGCGGCGGAGAACGCGCGTCTCCTGGCACAGATTGGACGAAGAAAATGAGCCGGAAAACTTGATTTAAAATAGTAAAAGAATGGCCTCATTTTTAGATAATGTAAGAAAATTATTTTTCATTCCTTAAGTAAATAATAGCCTCCTTTGTTAGTTTTTTTTTCAAATTTCAAGATGATTATTCATGTGAACATCCATTCAAAGAGGCAAAACCACAAGTTAAAACCTCCATTACATGGAAACACTTTGGCAGATCAGTTAGAAGAAATGAAACGTCAGATGATTGTTACTTTTTTTTTTTTTTGCTTTATAACACATATCCACGCACAGAAATGTCTCAACGCTTGGCTGATAAACGACGGATGGTTCCTGGCATGCCACCCCATGATATAACCATCTGAAATTAGACATGTTTCCATCCTTTGATTTTATTCATCTCAGTGCATTTTCCCCTTTTAAAAGGAAGTGACATGAGCCCTTTGTTAGATCAAGGCAGAGAAAGATCAAAAATAAAAATCACAAATTAATTTGACTTGAAAAAGAAAATCAAAGTCTAGATTATTTACATTTGTTAAGGGGTAAAATTATGTTTTTATGCCCACATAATTTGCAATGCTTTACGTATAATTCTTTTTTAAAAACAGATTAAGCTTCGGTTGACACATTTTAGCCTGTGATTTATTTTTTTTACTCTCATACTGACAGACCAAAGAGGAGTAAAGCAGTTGGACGTCAGCAGGTTTTGTTCAAGCCATCAGCAAAAATAAGCCTGATTGAAATCTTTGCCATGCGATGTATCACATTATATTTGATTTGTTTTACCTATGTTTAAGTTTGGTTCTCCTGCTCTTCACAATTCATACATTGAGATTGTTTCTGTTCAAATGTTGAGTTGAACTCCTATACTTGTCATCTTACACCTTCAGGTGGGAACCCACAATGAATCCAAGTTCTCGTACTATTGAGAGTTCCACAACCCAGTATGTCAATGGAATGATGTACAAATCACCTGCAAGTTATGAAATACAGTAAAATGCAAATGCATGTGAATGTATGAGCTCATCAGATGTCTCTTATTTTTCTACTCAAAATAAACGGTTATTTTTCCTGAAATAAAGCAGATGTTAAAACAAACAAACTCACTTTGCATACAGTATTTTTGAGGAACCATTTCTGAAATTGTCCCTGATTTTCTTTTTTCAAATCTTCCATACAACATTACACAGAAAGTGTAGATTAATCTACACATCCCTATTTCCCTGAGAAAAAGTAAAGATCGGCTAAAACCACAAGATGCAATTTGTTGCATAAACCTCACAGCTTCAGATTTGTTTGCAGTTCCACCATTTCACCACCAGATGGCAGAATAACGTCCACTTCAACGTTCAGATGGACGTTTCTTGTCTGACACAGAGGTCTAATTTAATTCAGCAGAGCCATAAATAATTAATTGTGACATGCATTGATATGATCACTCAAACCCAAATAAAGTTAGTTTACTGGTATTTTTATTCGTGCATCATGTGCTTATATTTTTTCCAACAACACTTTTATCAGATGATGATGATAAGTGTCAGGACTTACTACTATTTTTTCAATGTAAAGTTTGGCTGTATCATCTAAAGTAAACAAATTATATTGACTTTTTACAGTTTTATAGTGGCAGATATATATTTTATCAATATAGTTTAGATATCCCTCCTTAAACGTGACTGGGTAGAATGGTGACCTCTGCTGGTCATTTTGAACAACTGCACTTGACGTTCGTACTGTATAAATTAATCAACTTGTTTGTTTTTTACCGTTAATTCACCCATTGATCTGTGTCAAATCATTCTTAATGGAGATTGCATAAAGAAACATTCACACATTATGGGCACGTGCAACAAGGCCTGGTCGTGTGTAGGTTACCTTTTTTTTTTAATCCCTTTTTATCACTAAAAGCCTTAAATTTGAAATGCTTTTTGTAATTTGACATTTTTTGTTAAACGTACCTTGTTGGATTGGTGAGCAGCCCGCTCGGCTTTTAGTCATAAAATCCCTCTGACGTTGCATCCGTCTACGTGGACGCTTCAGCAGGAAGACTGTTGTCATTTTGGCTACGTGGAAGTAGGTCCTCTTATGTCTGAGACTGAGAGCATATTCTGCCCTCATCCGTTTTCCACATTCATTTAAAATGATAAAGAAATTTGACAAGAAAGACGAAGAGTCTGGTAAGTCTGCGGAGTGTTTGACTTATATCGGAACTGTGATGTTGTGGAGGACGCAGTGAAGGCAAACGCAAGGCTAGCTTGTTAGCTTACTAGCTAGTGCAAACGCAATTTGTCAAAGAAAAACTAAACCAGACGGTTAACTGCAAGAACACGTACGCATATCCTGTTATTGTGTGTACCTAAAACAAATAGTTTTACGGTTGCACTGAAATGCCTTGCCACAGTTGTCCTGACACAAAAGTTTTAGTCAGTTTGACAAGTTTAGCGTTAGCTGACTATTAGCACCACTAGCTAGGCGGTGTACGCTGAACCTTAACATGACTGAAGTTTTACGTTTTACGGGAAATATGTACTCTCAAAGTATAGGTTAATCAAACCTATAGAAGTGAGTCTTTTGTGACTATTTTTCTTACTGTCTGTACGTGCGTTTTGTGGGGGGTTTTACGCAGCCTGAGTTAGCATGATATACCACGACTTCTGGGATCGTTGGTTGATTTTGTTAAGACATTTAGTTAATCAAGGAGACAATCCCCACATTATATTTACTTTTCCTAAATGATATGTTTCCTAACATAGGAAGTGGGTCAAACCCTTTCCAGCATCTGGAGAAGAGTGCTGTGCTCCAGGAGGTAATGTATGCCCACCACGTTTTAAAAACCTGTTCTATAGACATGAGTTTTATGCTTTTGGGGGTGAAGTGAGTGTAATTAATGTTGATGTTGTCACAATTCTGCCCATCACTCGTTCATAGGCACGCATCTTCAACGAGACCCCCATCAATCCACGAAGATGCCTCCATATCCTCACCAAGATAATCTACCTCCTCAACCAGGTAATTTAGGATGAATGCATCTCTTGATAGATATACTTTTTTAAAATTAATTAAATTAATTTTTTAAATTGGTAGAATAATTTTCTGTTCAATCTCTGCCTAATAACTTTAAGCTCTCCTTGTTCATCTAGGGGGAGCATTTCGGGACCACAGAGGCAACTGAGGCATTCTTTGCTATGACAAGACTCTTCCAGTCTAATGATGTATAAGTTCCTCCATTCATTCAGATATTTGGTCTGAAAATGTATTTCCATTTGCACTGCTAAAAAATCCAAAACTTTCTCTTTCTAGCAAACCTTGAGGAGGATGTGTTACCTGACTATCAAAGAGATGGCAAACATCTCTGAGGATGTCATCATTGTCACCAGCAGGTTTGTTACAACGCATTAAACCACCTCAAGTGTCGCTTCAGTTTTAATGAGCCAAACATTATTTTTCTCTGCTTTCTTAGTATCTTTTTTTTATTGAGCTATCATCTGTTTGGATTCTACGTAATTAAATTTCTCTCAAATGTCATCATGGGAAAATGTCTGTTTTTTGTTGTTTTCTCTTCTTGCTTAAAAAAAATCATTTTGTGTGGTACAATGTAGCCTGACTAAAGATATGACTGGGAAAGAAGATGTGTACCGAGGACCTGCCATCAGAGCCCTTTGCAGGATTACAGATGTGAGTACCGCTGGACCTCATTGCTCCATTTTTTCATTTTCCATGTAAACCTGTCATTCCACTTTTTTTGTGGATAATTCTGTGCCCTGCCCACAGACCACCATGCTGCAGGCCATTGAGAGGTACATGAAGCAAGCTATTGTTGACAAGGTGCCAAGTGTGTCCAGTTCAGCTCTGGTCTCCTCACTGGTACGGAATGGCATCCTTTCTTCTTCAGAGTAAATGAATCAGGGGCTTTATTTATCTTTCATACCTCTGTTATTGCTGGTGGATAATAACCTGCTCCCTCTGTTACCCAGCACATGGTAAAGATGAGCTATGATGTGGTGAAGCGTTGGGTGAACGAAGCCCAAGAGGCAGCTTCCAGTGACAACATCATGGTCCAGGTGGGAAAGATGAATGAAGAGTCTTTGTAGCGTTCAGGAATCTAATCTGCTCATGCACAATTTTAAAAGTCTGCTGGTCTTCTCCTTTAGTACCATGCCCTCGGGTTGTTGTATCATCTCCGGAAGAATGACCGCCTTGCTGTGACCAAGATGCTCAACAAGTTCACAAAGTCTGGCCTCAAGTCTCCCTTTGCCTACTGCATGCTGATCCGTATCGCCAGCAAACTGCTGGATGAGACGGAGGGAGGGTGAGTGGGCCAGCAAACTCTTTTGACTAATTCTTTTTAATTCCCTACTTTCCAATAACCCATCTTTCGTGAAATGTGTTTGATCTTTGCACACAGTCACGACAGCCCCCTGTTTGACTTTATCGAGAGCTGCCTTAGGAACAAGAATGAGATGGTGGTGTACGAGGCAGCCTCGGCTATTGTCCACATGCCCAACTGCACTGCCCGGGAGCTGGCCCCTGCAGTGTCAGGTCAGCAGTCTGCTCACATCTGGTTCATACAGAGCTTTGTGCTATCCTGTGAAATGGCTATGTAACTGGGAATGTCTCCTCCTGCAGTGCTGCAGCTCTTCTGCAGCTCCCCTAAAGCAGCGTTGAGGTACGCTGCAGTCAGAACCCTCAACAAGGTATGGCTTCTTTCTGCATTGCCCAACACAGGATTTCTTCTCAGATCAAACTCAAACGTATCTATTTGCGCTGCTGGGTTTCCATCAGGTGGCCATGAAGCATCCATCTGCTGTGACTGCCTGCAACTTGGATCTGGAGAACCTGATCACGGATTCGAACCGCAGCATTGCCACTCTGGCCATCACCACTCTGCTGAAAACCGGCAGTGAGAGCAGCGTGGACCGCCTCATGAAGCAGATCTCCTCCTTCGTCTCTGAGATCTCTGATGAGTTCAAGGTGAGACGGCTCAAACTGAATTTTTCGGCTCAAACTGAATTTTTGTCCTCAGATTTAAGCAGGTAGATGTGTAAAGAGTGTGGATGTCCAGCTGAAAACGCCATCCTGACCAGCTGCTACATAAGGATTAGTGACCTTTTGAATTAATGGGTGTTACAACTGGTGTTTCCATTCCAAAAATTGCTATATACAGAAGTTGAATAGGATTAGATCCTCAGTTTTTTTTTTTTTTTTTTAATGCCTTGATTATTTTTTGTTATCTTATTTCCTCTTTTCATACCTGTTTGTGTGCTGTTCCAGGTGGTGGTGGTGCAGGCCATCAGCGCTCTGTGTCAGAAGTATCCCCGGAAGCACAGCGTCATGATGAACTTCCTGTCCAACATGCTCAGAGATGACGTGAGTAGCTCCAGCTGAGCCCTGTCTGGACCCCAGCTGACCGCCACAGTTCTGTTGCTCTGTACACCTGCTGCTGTGGTCACACCTCTCCCTTCTGCAGGGGGGGTTCGAGTACAAGCGGGCCATCGTGGACTGCATCATCAGTATCATCGAAGAGAACCCTGAGAGCAAAGAAACGGGCTTGGCCCACCTGTGTGAGTTCATCGAGGACTGCGAACACACAGTCCTGGCCACAAAGATCCTTCACCTGCTGGGGAAGGAGGGCCCGCGCACCCCGCAGCCCTCCAAGTACATCCGCTTCATTTTCAACCGAGTGGTGCTGGAGAGCGAGGCCGTCCGCGCAGGTGAGGCCTCGGGACGCACAAGTGCAAAATAAATGGAGATTGAGGGTTTGTTTGAGGCGCACCTTAAGTTTACTCACCTCAGGATGATTTACCAGCAGCTGAAGCATCTTTTGTTGTCCTCCCCCTTCAGCGGCCGTCAGCGCTTTGGCTAAATTTGGAGCTCAGAACGACGACCTGCTGCCCAGCGTCCTGGTTCTGATGCAGAGGTATTCGCTTCCCTTTATTGGCTGGAGCTCCTTTATTAAATAGGTTTCCAGGGGACGAATGCTAGAGTCTGCTGGTCTGACCCTCTGCCCTCACAGGTGTATGATGGACAGCGACGACGAGGTGCGGGACAGAGCTACTTTCTACATGAACGTGCTGCAGCAGAAGCAGAAGGCTCTGAATGCAGCCTACATCTTCAATGGTGAGTGTGCAGAAAACACTTACAGACGAGCTTTCTCTACAAGCGGCAGATGTTTTAACGTGTGTGTGTGTGTGTGTCAGGGCTGTCGGTGTCTGTTCCTGGGCTGGAGAAGTCCCTCCACCAGTACACCCTGGAGCCCTCAGAAAAGCCGTTCGACATAAAGTCTGTCCCGTTGGCCTCTGCGCCCATCACAGAGCAGAAGACAGGTACAGCTACTTGTTTGTTTGTTTTTTTGATTATCAAATGAGAAATGTTTTTGGGAATGAATCTAATTTTTTTTCTGTCTCTCTAAGAAATTGCCCCTGTTGCCACCAGCAAACTTCCAGAGAAGCTGGCCCCGTCACGTCAGGACATTTATCAGTGTAGGACACGAGGAATCTTTTATCGGCTGATAAGACTGGCCATTGTTGAAAATCCCCTGTGTCCTCTTATTACTCTCTGCTTCATCCCACAGCACAACTTTCGGGCATCCCAGAGTTCCAGGGTCTGGGCCCTCTCTTCAAGTCCTCTGAGCCGGTGCAGCTGACGGAGGCAGAGACGGAATACGTGGTGCGCTGCATCAAGCACACCTTCTCCAGACACATGGTGTTCCAGTTCGACTGCACCAACACTCTGAACGACCAGCTGCTGCAGAAGGTCCTTAACGATCACGCTCTGCTCCAGAGGCTGCCCTTTGCCTTCTGAGCTTTACTGGGCTGCTCCCGGGCTGGACATGTAATTTGTGGTTCTGTGTTGCAGGTGATGGTGCAGATGGAGCCCTCAGAGGCGTATGAGGTGATGCACTGCATCCCCGCCCCGAACCTGCCCTACAGCCAGCCCGGATCCTGCTACACTCTGGTCCGACTGCCGGACGACGACCCCACCGCCGGTAGGGGAGCAGTTCACCGACGGTTCCTCTCAAATCAGCCCTGTGTACTTCAGCTGTGGCTGACTGGTTTCTGTCTGCAGTCTCTTGTACGTTCAGCTGCACCCTGAAGTATCTGGTGAGAGACTGCGACCCCAACACAGGAGAGCCGGACGATGACGGTTACGATGACGAATACGTGGTACGCACGACGGCGAATCTGAAAAGTGAGAAAGCCCAACAATGGTGACGGTACTAAAAAGCTCATGCTGTTTTTCAGCTGGAGGACCTGGAGGTCACAGTGGCCGACCACATCCAGAAGGTTCTGAAACCGAACTTCGGAGCAGCTTGGGAAGAAGTGGGAGACGAGTTTGAGAAAGAAGAGACCTTCGCTCTGGCGTCTGTTCGAACTCTAGATGGTACGCAAACAGTTTCCCTTCTGATCAAAGGTTGGAAATGAACTGAGCTGGCATTTGAACGCTTTCCTGTGGCTCTTGCTCACAGAGGCGGTAGGTAACATCATCAGCTTCTTGGGAATGCAGCCCTGCGAACGCTCCGACAAAGTTCCTGAGAACAAGAACTCGCACGTCCTCTTCCTCTCCGGTGAGCTCCGCTTCTTAAAAGCACCGGATGGTGAAATAACGCCACGGTTTTGGAGAGCTAAGGCTAAAGCAGAAAGTCTTTTTTGGCTGCCGCCTTCAGTCTGCTGCTCTCTCCTCAGGTGTGTTCCGGGGGGGCCACGACACGCTGGTCCGCGCCCGCCTGGCGCTGGCCGACGGCGTCACCATGCAGGTGACCGTCCGCAGCAGCGAGGAGACGGTTGTAGACGTGATCCTGGCCTCTGTGGGCTAGAACCGTAAACTCATACGCCAACACAGCGCCATCCCTAAAGCATCACCTCTTTCCAGCTCTGAACATTGTGATTATGTCGACCAAGAAGGACATTTCCAGATGTTTTATTACTTTTAACACAAAGTGTTTCTTTGTTCTGTCTGCTGGTCCTCTGAAAAATATTCTTCTGTCATCTCTACAATAAACTATCAAAAATAATGCAAAGGCTTTTTGTTTTTTTTTTATTATAAAACTAGTTTTATTTGAAGAAAAATCAACATTTAGTCAACCACATTGAGAAATGTAGAAAATTATATAAAAAGGAAGCAGCTCAGAACTCAACACATGATAGAATCAAAACTGTCCCACAGGTACATTCCGTACAACATTAGCTTTTTCTGTTCTGTTTTTAAACTCTTCCACAGCTCAGATTGGTGTTTACAGTCTCATGTCTGTGTAGAACACATTGTTTCTTTAACATGCATTATTTGTTAGAAAGCAGTCCTCTCAGAACGAGTGGATAAAATTAAAATATGCATTGAGAAAACCTGTTGGATCTTCCAGCTGAGGGTAGTGACTGATATGCTCGTCCAGAACGGTGAAGGTGGACCTCTGCACCAGCCGCCTGCAGGAGGAAACCGGATTTAAACAGCAGGAAGAGGAAACAGACTCATCCTTGTACGGCCTGTTTGAAGCCATACAAGCATTTATTTAAATAGTTTTACTTGAACTCAAGTGGAGGGGGAAACCTTCTGACATTCATTTAGAATCTTTAAAGAAATTGTCCACATTGAGATACCTCTTAAAATAATACGAGCAGAGGAGGCTCTTCAGTATGTGACACCAACACTCAGCCATAAAAAATAAAAAAAATGTCCCTGTATGTTTGCTTCAGTTATTAACATCAAGTGCACCTCTTAAACAGTGCCTGAATGTTGCTGGTAATCTGCACCAGGGTTAAGGCTTAGGGCTTCACTTACTGGTAAAGACGGATGAAATGGGGATGTGGGTTGACTGGGTCCAGGGGTCCGTAGATCATGTGCACTGAAACACCGGGGAGGGGGGATGAAACCATGTCAGAGGGGAAAAGATGAGAAGTGGGAGGGGAATTGGAATGGTGCACGTCCAGATATGGTACAATTTAGACCTGACCAGACATTTTTGAACTGGTGATAAATGAATAAATATATAAATAAGGATCCTCCCTCTAAGAAGCCCGAGGAAAAATAAGTCTTCACACTTAAAAGGATATGACCAAGGGTTTATCCTTTAGTGGACTGTCAGCAACTCTTTCCCACCCCCCACCCCTTCCTGACCACAGATGGACAAGGTAGCTGCTCCTCACAGGCTAAGCTGCTTAGCTCCAGCTGCTCTAAGAACTGTAGCACTGATTTTTCTGAAACGCACAATAACAGCTCTGAAGCGAAGCGTGAACTTACACGGGACAAAGGTGGACGTGAGGGCGCCCACCCATCGATCTCTGTGTTTCAACCTCTGGTTGATGTACTGGAGGATGCTGAGAACATGAAAGCACACGAGTGAGGAGAGGGTGAACGCGGCCGGAGACAAAGGTGAAGAAGCCGGACACAAACCTGTCCAAAACCAGGTTGCCGTCGTTGTGGCGCAAACCCGTCCACATGTCCCAGAACTCAGCATCTGTGGGCTGCGTGTAAGGACCAAAAACCTCCCCTATCCTGCCCCAAAACAGCAGCAATAAACAGAATAAAAGCATGTCAACGCACTTCCCCTCACACTAATAATAGCACAAATCTTCACAAGTCTTCTTACCCTTTCTGGAAGATCAAATAGTTGACGAGGCGGGTTAGAACTGCAGCCAGAAAACCTGAGTCCTTCAAAAGCTTTTTTTTTTTTTCGGAGGAAGAAAAAAAGCCCCAAAATGTGTCACAAACCCAGTTTTTGGACATGTCTACACATCCATCTACACTTTAATCAGAGCTTTACATCATCTCAAACAGACAGAGACATTCTATTAAACCAAACTTACTGTTTGCAGCAACCGGGGGTGGTGCGTTTCTGGGAATATTCCTGTTGGAAACAGAAAATGTGAGCAGCTTTTTATCATCATTAACTGGCATTTGTAGTGGCAATAAAGCCGAATCCACTGTACCTCCATTTGAAAGACAAAGGCTGTTCAGAGTCAGGTGGCCCGTGCGATTTTGGTCAGCCCTAATGTGGGAGGAGAAAAAGTGAGCACTTTCTTCCACGTCTCCCTCCGACATGTCATGCATCGGTTAATCTATTAACCTGTAGAGCAGCTCCAGGGCAACAGTGTCTCCATAGTCGTGAGACACCAGATTGACTCGATGTTTGCTCAGGTCCAAGTGTGCCAGCAGGGCTTCCACCAAAGTGGCCTGCTCGAAAATGGAGTACCTGTGGGGCCTCTGGGATGTTAGAGAGCACGAGTTAGGGAGACGAGCAAGAAATCGTAACAGAGAATGAAATGGAGCAGCTACTTTTGAGTTCTTATTATTTAATTCTTCTAACCGGCTTGTCGCTGAAGCCAAATCCAAGAAAATCGAGAGCAATGACTCGATGGAAGCGCTGTGTGAGTGGATCCCAGACCTGCATAGAGAGGGGGGAAATCTTAAGTTTTACACACACACATACAAAAACGCCTGTAATTTAGCTACTGAAGTACCTTATTCCAGTCGTAGCTAGAGGTGGGGAAGCCGTGCAGCAGAACGACCACATCTGAGCTTCCCAAAGCACCAAAAGAATCTGGGAGCAACACAATGACCCAAACACTTTCATGATAAAGGTCAGAGCAGAGACACGGGGTTTGCTAACTTGTTTTCAGAGCCTGGGAGTCACCTCTGTAGAAGACCCTCCTCCCCCTGAAGCGGAACACCTCCCCGGCGCTGCGCCACCGGTGCAGGGCGGCCGAGGGCTGGGGGGCCGGGATGTGCAGGTACACGGCCAGCAGCGGCACGCAGATCAAACCCACATGGAGCCACCACTCCCTCATTTTGAGCCGAGCAGTGAGGGCAGCCTCACTACTGCCTCTGGGAGAAAAAAAATCACAGGCAAACACACAGGATAAAGCAGCACACCGCAGCGGGAAATGCCCAAAGTTAATTAACGCCAGTCAAATTAGCCTGAGCCAACCTCAGTAAAATGACACAAAAGACCGAAATATTAGCAAGTTTAGCTTAAAAACGAGCTCTGTAGCCAGTTCGCGGGCGACATGGGAGTGACAGAGAGGTACACTTACAAAAATGTGTCTCCATGTCATTTGTGGACCTTTGCCCTGTCCGGAGGACCCATTGCTCCTGAGGAAATTCCTGTCCAGCCGGAGCGGAAAGGGAAGCACGGCTTTTCAAAGATAAAGAAAATTTAAGAGGTCTCACTCTTTCCCTTTTTCCGTGAAAAGACAGCTGTCAAATTTGCGTGAGAGTGGGTATGATATTTTGATGAGCCAGACAGAGTAGGTTTCTAATTCTAATAGACGATCTTTGAAAATCCAACGGTGAGAAGGACAATAGCCATTACCGCCATCTGCTGGTCAGGATGACCAACGGCAACTTTAAACTTAACGCTATTCTGTTGGAAATCAAATGCCACAACAAAAAACAAAAAGAGAAAACAAAACATGAACCGTTTCGTGTGTCCGATATCAAAACAGTAAAGCAGAAAAAATAAATAGTGTGAGGAATATATCCTGTACATACAACCTCTGAGTTGTAACCAACAGTGTTTGGTAATTCAGACATGATTTTGATCACTTTCAATCATTCAATATATCTAAGTTGCTTTTCAAAACTGACATCATTTTTTAAAACAGTTTTCTGCATGTCAACCTGATGGACACATGTAGGTCATTTCAAGTTTAAATGAATACAGAGGCAACAGACTAGCATTTTTTTTTACGGTACACAGTGTTGCATGAAACATAGCCATTTGATCATAATTCCCGATTTACATTTAAAAAAACTGTTACATAGATACAACGGACGTGCTTGGTTCTGACTAAAGCTTTTTCAGAGAAGACCTTGAAGACTATGAAGTTTGGTAGTGTAGCTGTTATTATCACTGCTGCAGGGGCTGGACAGAATACAGAAACTGAGTCAACTATTAATCTAATCAGAGAATATGAGGCCATCTTTCCACATGGTAATGATTCACAGTGATCTTACAAATCCACAATAGAATGGCCTTAAAAAAAACAACATTTTGGCACTGTTGAAAAGTCAAAACCCAGATTTGGATCACATTTACATTTGATGGAATTAAAAAAAAAGATAAAGCTGTATAGACAATTATGCAAAGTGCCTCTCTACATAAAGGCAATAGAAGAGTATTAGTATTGATACTTTCCTTATTTTTTTAATGACATTGTGACATTTCTCAGTTTGCAATTGTCTACTAAATGTTTTACAACTCTTGTCTCCAAGCAAGATTACCTAAATCTATACCAATAAATAATTGGCAATAACTGGAGGACTGCTATGGAAACTGACATTCAATGCCTGAATGGTGAATAGAATTTATCCCATAAGACTTTAGTCCGTTGTTTTGAGTTCAGAATCTTTACATGACTAATTTATTAGAACATAATCCATTAGCTATGTCTTCACCACAAAGAAATCAGATCTTGGCCTGCACTGTTAAAAATGTGTTTTAGTTTTGATATAATCCAGCATAAAGCTACAGTCTCCCAAAAATATGTTTTGCTCGCGCCCACGCCAATGACGAGATGGTGAGAAATGAAAAACATGGCCCTTCAAGTAGGCTAAATACATTTTTTATTTTTAAAAACCATACACATTACTCGACAAGTTTCAAATGTAAATCCAATCACGATATCCATTTAAAATGCTCAAGATAAACAGACATGAAGTACTTTTTATTTCCAAATGTTAAAAGATAAAAAAATAATAATCCATAAAACAGATGGAAAAACATTCATTCCCATTACAGGAAGAAGCTACAGAACAAACTCCTCACGTGGATTCCTCTCGCATTTTGAATTTTTCTCACTTCGCAGGCAATCCTAGCTGCTATTTTGTCGTCTGTAAAAAACAAAAACAAACGAAAAACAAAACCCAAAAAAAGAACAGAAAAACAAAAAGAAAAAACGAACTATTCATCAGAAAGTTGTGACTGGACATTTTTTTGCCTCGTCCCCTGTCCACGGCCTTTTAGGTGAAGCCAGCCACAAAGCTGCAGGAAGAATTTGCAGCCTGCTGCTGGACTGATCCTGTGTGGCTGGCCAGCACCTTTCCAAAAGTGAATTAAGTGTGCTAGTATCTAAACTATAAGAGGCCTGTTCTTTCACATCATTTGCACCCTGAGATGAATATTCCAGAACAAAAAATATTTTAGTGGCCAAAACCCTCCCCCGAAACTGCTTTAGTACGATGAAAGGTATCATCAGCGTTGTCATAAAAATACAAAGGTATATTTTTCATTACGATTTGTATCAAAATTCTTTTTCTCCCAAGGAACTCTATGAAATAAAGTACCCTGTGCAGATAGATACCAGTGTATGCCTAGTCTTTATTCTTGAAAAATGCACATGTCCAATTCTATAGCGTTTCCAGTACATCAGGTTTCAAAATTATTTTACAAACAAACCAAATTCAGAAAAACTTCTTAGTGAAAGGAGTCTTATGAACAGGCTTGAAAATAGAGTTAGAAGTTTCCCCCAACCCCCCCTCTGGGCTTTTGATTTTCAAAAATTCCAACAAACCAGAACTCTTGAGGAGTCAAATGAAATCTTCCCTAAAGCATGACCATGACACGGATGAAATCTGAAAGTAATTCACTTGCTTTTTGCTACGTAAATACACAAAGTCAGAAAGAAGGTTCTTTTTTTTTTATAGATTCCTTTTTTAAATTAAACACTTTTTTTTTCTATGCCTGAGTAAACAAATGTCAGTATTGTACATCGGTGGGAGGGGAGGGGAGAGGAGTGGGGTCTGATTGTTTGCAGAGGAAGAGGGGAGAGAAAAAAAAAGAAAAAAAGAAAAGAAAGCACAGACTTTTTTTGAAATGATACCAGGGTCCATATTTATCAAGCATCTACAGGCAAGAAATCAGCACTAACCCACCCAAAATGTTAGGAATTCGTTTATTTGGTCCTGCTTGTAGCTGTAGAAACAAGTGCTCTTCATCTGGAAGGAGGTTCCTGAAATGGTCTAAATCACTGTTGTAGCCAAGGCACATTCATGTTTAGTCTGTATGAAGGTCTTACTGGAAAATAAACAGATGCAGTGGCTGCACAGCTCATGATACAGAGTCTCTTTTTACGGTCTAAAATCAGCTCCTTCTGACTGTGACTCATGTTTTTGTGTCACGGTTCCACAAACCTAAAAGGAGAACCTCTCCTGGCTGAAAGCTTCAGGAGGACCTCATATCCGTGTGAGCTAAACGCTGGCTCTATCCCCCGCTTTCAGCTGGATTCTGGGTGAGATGCTTGTTAAATACAGGCCCAGATATTTCCTCAACTCCCTTTTAATAATTGGAACTTTGAACATGTGGAAATTTTCAAACACAATGTAATGAATGAACAGAGAACCCAGAAGTCAAGAGGGTTTTGTGCACATGATAATTATCAAAGAAATGGAAGAAGTAAATATTTATAACAATGTTAGTGGACAGAGGCCCTTATCGTCTTTCCCTGCCCGTCTCCTGTGAAAACGTCTCGTCCCACGGACCTCTTTTCTATACAAGCCTTAGTGTTTATCGGTTTGGCTAGAAGGTTCTATATTTATCTACAAATATATAACAAATAAAACTTGCAGGCAAAAATAGTTAAGTTTCAATAGAAACACCCTTTTTTCCTGAAAATACAGCAGTATCTGAAATAATCCTCTCAGTCATTTACTATTGTCCCAGTTTTCTGCATTAAACATCAGGAAGCTCTTTTGCCTACAAACAGAAAAACAAAAGTATCTACAAACTTTGTAAACAGACCTGCTTTTTCCAAAAACATAAATAACCCAAAATATTAACAGCCGATGGAGCAGAAATAAGTTTTGAATGAGCAAGGGCCAAAGAGATAAATATACAACACCATTCAGATAAAAGAGAAGCTAAAGGTTCTTTCATATTCTTACAGACGATCTTCAAGACAGGAGGAGGACCCCCTCTTCTCAATTCAAATAATAGCAATAATAATAATAGAATAATGAAAACAGGTCACTTTCAATCTGAGTTTATAATCACCCCTTGTTACCCAGAAAAACAAATGTTACCAAGGGAAAGGGGTGTAGATAGAGTCCTTGTGTTGCAGCAAGGTATTAATGAGAACCCCACAAAAAAAAAAAAAATGAAAAAAAATCCACACCAAGCCATACATTCCTCTGAATGCTTCCTGTTCTTTAAGTCCAGCCCAAGCACAAGCTCACACCAGACTCCACACCCTCCGTCCGCCCTCCCGTCTCTGGTCTCCAAGTATTCGTCCCTTTGGTCTGAGTGGAGCTCCTCGGTGGCAGGTAGAAAAAGAGGTGCTGGAGTGTGGGGCGGGGTCAGATCAGAGGGAGGTCTCCAGGCTGTGTAGTGGGCTCCCGGGGGCGGAGGGGGTTCCTGATTTGGAGCCCTCGGGGAGGAGGTGGTTGCTGCTCTCCACAGCGTTATTGTTCTGGTTTGGGGAGGGCGAGAGCGGCGTGGGCGGGGCGGCGGCGGTGGTGGGGGAGGGCGGCGTGGGCGTGGTGTTGCGCGGGCTGGCCGAGTTGCGCTTGGTGGGCGCGTCGTCCTCGGCGTCGGTGTCGTCGATGAGGGGGATGTGAGGCTCCGAGTCCTCTATCCGGAACTCGGGGTGGGTCATGAAGTTGTGGATGGATGAGCGCGACTCGGGCTTCTCCAGCCCCTCATAGAGGGAGATGGAGCTGCGGAATGCCTTCACCACCCGGATCTGCAGTGGGGGGAGGGGAGGAGGGACAGGGAGCGGAGAGGCACAACTTTAGTCACGCTGGGCTGGGACACGCGCTTCCCGCCAGAGCCGGACGGCCGCCACAGGAAAAAAACAAAAACAAACCGAAGGCGCAGGTTTAATTCGGTCAATAACGGGCCAGTTTTAGGGGCTTCAGATCCCAAAAATCTGTCAGACGGGAAATTCGCAGAGACACACGTGCACGTCAGCAGTTTATTTAGGAAGTGAACCTGTAACACACGTGACCGGAGGCTTCACTCACTGGGATGATGTTAGTGACACAACCAGCTTTGATTGGAATCGTTTTAAGAGGACGTTTAGAGAGCGCCATGTGTGTATCTGTCTGTGTGTGAGCCACGTATGGGCTTGGAGTTGAAAGGTTGAAGGATATTTAGCCCATTTCATCTTCGCAATTTGTCCTTTTCCGCCTGTTTTTTTGTCCTAGTCTAAACAGCTACAAGATTCTGTGAAAGCATTCGCTGCTTATTGGATCAAGCCTAACTATCTGACAAATGGATTTACATTACCTTTAAAAGAAACCGCCCAGCTTGTTTGGGAAATTTGACTCAAGTGGGGACAAATATCAAAATAGAATACAAACACGACGAGCCGCCTCACGGGAATCTAAAAAAAAAGGAGGACTTGAGGGGCACCGTGCGGTGGAAATATGCCTAACTAGATGCTGAATGTGTATGATATTACAGTCTAATAAAGTGTAAATTAAATGTAAACCGTTTTGGTTGCTATAAAAAGGGCCCCAGACTGTAAGTCTGTACAGAACAAGTCCAAACAGAGAGATAGAAAACTGACTCTAGTAAAAAGCAGTAATGCAAAGGTTTCGGGGATCAGTAAACATCTCACTGAGTCCAATCAGCAACAAACTCGATGCAGAGTGTTTTGGTAAGTACGGTAGTACAATTACAGTAAAGAAACATCACTCGCTAGAGGCCCGTGTTTGCGACCGGAACCCACGAACGCATGGAGCTGCTGTTCTTTCTAAAAGAACACATCCACAGAGCGGAGGGGGACCGGTGCTGGCCGGGGTTCACCGTTATCGGGCATGCTTATTAAAGAGTGAAGAGGAGGACAGGAAGTGAGAAAAAGGGAGACAGGAACAAAAGGCAGAAAAAGAAACGGACAAGAGAAAAAAGACAAAAGAAAGGAAGGGGGGGTGGGTGGGGGGTCAGTTCTAGCTCATGTTTGTGGAGAAAAAACAACAAAAAAGCTGCGGCAGCCAAGCATGTCTACAAGCTGGTATACAAATCCAAAACGCCACAAAGAGAAACTCACAAACGAGACCAGAGACTTTGAACCCATGCAGAGCGCGGAGCTACCTTGTGTTCAATGGCAGTAAACCTTTGAGTATAGCCCATGACACATTTCACAGAATCTAAAGAAGAATATGTGGGATGTCAGTGGAATTCAGTGCTTTTCTCTTCTTTTTTTAAAACAATTTTGGCAACACACAACGCCATGTGACAACATTCTGCTGACACCCAATTGTTCATAGAGTAAGACACCCTAAAAAAAACAAAAGAAGGAAAAGCTCTGAACCTCAGAGAGGCACAGCTAACAGAAACCTACATATAACTGACTGAGGTTTCAAATTCAGCTCAGAAAAAAGGGTTGATGCAAAGACAGATGTATACAATTTAAGTTAAAAACATTTGGTTCAAGAAGCTGGTTTTGTTTAATCTGCAAGTAAATGAAGATCCTTTGATGGAGGGATGGACTCCCTGGTATGCTCTGAAAGAGAAACAGAGTCCATGTTAGTAACAAAGTGAGGAGGAGGAGGGATGCCGGACCTGCTTCCAACACTGAACCACCTCAAGTAAAAGAGCTGAGGGACTTTTTCTCAAGAATTTGCAACCAAACGTGTCACCACACCGTGTCCTGGCAACTGCCTCTCAATATTACTGCTGGAGCTTCATCCAAGAAAAATACACACACACACACACACACTCACACACACACACACACACACCCAGGTTTGCTTTTTTACACCGCAAATTGCCACAGATGGAAAGAGAGGGGTCATTATCTCTGACAAGACATCCACTGACACTTGGACTGGTTTCCTCTCACGAGGTCGTGCGGTGGTTTAATCTCTATTGTTTTTGAGAGCGTGATCATGGGCGTATACTCAAAACATTTACCGGACTAGAGAGCTGCGACACAGACCCATGAGCGCTGCGGAGGCACAGAGCTGCAGACAAACCTGGTGAAGGTCAATCCAGAAAACAGTTTCTTTTTTTTCTTTTTTTTTTAAATCAAATAGAAAAAGGCACATAATCCCCCCCCTCCCAACAAGATAACAAGTTTCAACTTTGGAGACCGAAGCAGTAGCAGAACAGCAAACATGATGACACAGAAAAAACACCTTGACGGTAGAAGCGACCTGCTCAACAGGAGACATATATATAAATATATATTCATAGACAGCAGTGTTATCAAAGCAGTATGGAGGATGTGGTTTTGGTGTCTTTTTTGAGGTAAACGAGGGGGGAACATTAGAAAAAGCATGACAGAGAAAAAGTTGAACGTTAGGTGAGAATAAGAGCGGAGGAGAAAGATGTTAGAAGGAAAAAAAAAAAGAAAAAGTCTCATGCACTAAAGGAGAACACGCACTCACACCCCACAGTGGCAGAAGCGGTGTTGGCGGCAGTGGCAGTAGTAGAAAAGGCTACATGTGTAGGGCTAGAAACATTGGTTACATCGTGCTGTTGTTGGCTGGAGTTGGAGGCCTGCCGCCTTAGAGCCCCCTGAAAGGAAGTTCCACTCTGGAACGCACTCACTACATCCATCTGCAAAGAATCAGACAGCATGACAGGAGAAAGCCCAGAGGAAATAAAACACAGCAAGAGAAAAGAGAGAAAAATGAAGGGAAAGGCACCAGTAACCACAGAATAAAAAAAACAAAAAAAACAACAACTTAGCTTTGAAATTGTATAGTTAAAAGAGAGGAAAAGGAAATGATTTGGTTTAAAGGCACTGGTTGCAGGAAGCACTGACTTCACTGACTTCCTCCTCTCTGCAGAATCCCGTCCATTCTTCCAGATATAGCCGCCACAATATCCTGATGCTCACCTGCTCTATCAGCCAATTGCATTTGAGCACTACCAGTTTTCTTTTTTAATATATATTTTTTTACAGCACATAGGTTCAGAATGAGTCAGAAATCAGCATGGGAACCTGCTTTAGCTTCGATGCAGAACAAATCAGAAATTAGAAAAAGGGCTTTCGTTTTTAGCGGACAGGCCGTTCTTTAAAGAATGCAAAGAGATAGAACAAACAGATTTTCGGCTGGAGGAGAAAAAGAGAGTTAAAGGGTTTATGGCTTTTGATTCCCGCTGTGGTGGGTGTCGTGGTGAGCGATCAACAGGGACGGACGCAGCGTTTTACCTGAGTTTGGATGCGATTGAGGCCTCGGAACCAGAGGATTTGGCCTCGGCGAAGCTCGCGCTCAGCGTGGTCGATCTCATCCATGTCCTCCAGCTCCTCCAGCTCATCGTCGGGGATCTCGTCTTTCTGGGTGCCGTGGCCTGCCGTCTTCAGGAATTTTAAGCGGCTTGTGGGTATTGAGGAGATAACCTAAAAGGCATCAAATTTTTGCATTAGACACAATAATTATTATGAATTTATGCTCTTTAGAGAAGTTGACCACCTTCTACTTGTTTTAAAACATCATCCAAAGACTTTTTTCATTTATTATTCCCAAGTTCTGAAGGGAATTAATAAAGAATATAGAAATTACTTTAGGAGCTCAAACCTTCAATGTTTTATTATTGTAAATTATTGACTTTGCCCTTCACACACATAAGAAGAGAGAAGACTAGGAGGAAAAACACAGTTTGAACTGAAGCCAACGCAAGCTTGTGCATTATGAAAGTGAAAAGAAACCAGGTGGTGTTGATGAATGAATAATTCAAATAAAAGCATAATGTTCCACGGAGTGGAATGTCGCTGGCTGTCTGAGAACTCTTAGATCTGACAGACGGCTCCTGTTTATTAGTGGAGTACTTCGTCTGAATCGTTTTCCCTCACAAAAGATCTTCAAATATTGAATCAAATGAGCTTCACAGCTGCTCTCCAAGTTATGTTGACGCAACATCTAAAATCAGAGCGCATCCCATATTTACGGACGGCTAGGCGACCTCAGTGTAGCACAGTGCGTTTCAGGCAGACTCTCTCTGCTTTTGACCCAACTCAAATGTAGAGACCCCTAACGGGGTTTTTTCAGGCCTACATAAAGCCTGAGAATAAAGCTTATGGCTTCTGCTTTATGAAATAAAGCACACAAAAAGAGGAATGGCCAAAATGAGTTACTACAACGTCTGCATTAAACAGTGTGTGAACACAAACATGAGCACTACGGCTTCCAGTGTCCATTTTTGTTCATGCTGGGGTGCAGAGCCAATAGTCTTGGTTCCCCTCCGTCTTGACTGATGCGACTTCTCTGAGCTTTCACACACCCAGCGCTGAGGGCGTCTTTTGAACTTTTCAGAGTGGTTAACACTCCTGCTGATCTGCAGCATAAATGTGCACGATCAGAAGAGAACCACAAGCAGGATTCAGTGAGAATCTTCGTCCCATCGCAGCAGCACTGCTCATGAAACTTTTATTATATAACATATTACGCCGGCGATAATGTGCTCAATTTCAAGACAAACAGCAAACGCACTAACGAAAGCTAATTATCAAAATTCGAGATTTAATCCAGACTACGACCACGTGAAAGTCCACTTCCCAGCAGAACACGCTGTCCTGTTACAGCTCTTTGCTTGAGTTCCATCAAACACAAGGGGGCAGTGTGACACCACATTCTCACATCTCTCAGATAGAAGGTGAACACAGCTGTTTTGCCATACCTGTCCCCAGAGAAGAGAGCCAAAACCTAAGAAGGTGCACCACAGCCACTGGTCAATGGTCAGAGCCACACAGCTGAATGGTTTCCCTCCAAACTGCACTATTACAATCTAGAAGAGAAAAAAAATTAAATAAACAAGCACGATTTTACACAGTTTGAGGGTCACATTTTAGATGATGATAAGAATGAGTCACCAAAATCTACATGAAAGTAAAAAAAGTACCTGGATAATAAAGGTACCAAAGACTATACTGCAGAAGATGAGGTTGTTGAATATGCCCTCGAAGACGTTCCTCTCCCCGTGGATCTTGCGGGCATTGATTTCATTGAATAGCTGCATCAAGACAAAGGTGTTGAAGACAATGGTGTAGTGTTCAGAGGGTGGGGCGTGGAGGGGTGTGTTCCTGCCACTGTCAATGTCAAACAATTTCTCTCCTGGAATAAAAGAAATTGAAAAAGAAAAAAAAATGACTTGACAGGTTTATTTCCAAAATATTCACTGAAGCAGGTGTAATTGGGAACTGCGCCTTCATAGGGAAGCTGCCTACCAGCGAAGAGCAGAGTAAAGATGATTATTAGTTGGTATACGCCCTGACCCAGAATATTCTTCATCATGGTGCGTGAGATTAGAGGTTTGTTGCGGCCATATGGCTTTCTTAGCAGCAGGGATTCTGTAGGGGGCTCCGTAGCCAGAGCTAATGAAGCAAAGGTGTCCATGATCAGGTTGACCCATAACATCTGCACGGCTTTCAGTGGAGAGTCCTAGTGGCAGAGAGTCAGAAATATACATTTTTAGAAAATCTAGATAAAATCCCTTTAGAGAAGAAATTGAGGAAATTTCATGTGAGAGTGAAGGCTGAGACATATATGTATAAGGGATGCTGATACATACTAATTATTCGAGCTTACCTGTGTGATGCAGGCCCCTGAAAATGCTACAATGACAGCCACCACGTTGACAGTTAGCTGAAACTGGAGGAACTTAGAGATGCTGTCGTAGACGTTGCGCCCCCACATGACGGCTTTGACGATGCTGGAAAAGTTGTCGTCGGTGAGAATGATGTCTGATGCCTCTTTGGCGACATCCGTCCCAGCAATACCCTACAAGAAGAGGCTGACGATTAGGCGTCTGCTTGCATCTCATAGCCAAGACTTCACTTTGCCAGTTGTAGCAGCGGTGACCCTCATTAAAAAGGTAAATCAAACTAACCATGGCAAAGCCGACGTCTGCTTTCTTCAGAGCTGGACCATCATTTGTACCATCCCCCGTCACGGCCACCACTTGTCTCTGTTCTATCACTGTGCTATCAATAATGCCTTGAATGGTCAAAAATAGATATTCAAAGTGAGCCCTCTACTGCATGAACACAACATTCTAAACAAATGATGACTTTTTCCTTCACATTTCTCAGTGAGTGTAATTCCAAACTACCTTTTACTAAAGTGTGTTTGTCTGTGGGGGAGGAGCGAGCCAGTACGCGCAGTTTAGGCCAGATCTTGTCGATGCGTTCTTGTTCAATCTGAAAAAAACACAACGGAACCTTAATAGAGTACACACTGCATATCTCTAATCTCTGAAGCAGAGCGCTTTGCCGTGGCCCACCTCTCCTTTCTCATTTCGTATCCTACGATTGAATTCTTTTCCTTCCAGGCAGAGGAAGTCATCCCCAGGCAGTAGGATGCCACACTTCGTGGCAATGGCTCGAGCCGTGTTGATATTGTCCCCGGTCACCATCCGCACTGTGATGCCAGCACGCTGGCATTTCCTGATGGCATCAGGGACCTTCAGGCAGAGGAGGAGGAAAATGCATGTCACATTAAGATTCCACCTGGCAAAATCTTTGAAAAGTGTGCATCAAATATTCAGTGTTTTGCAAAGCTGATTGATCACTGATCTTTCTAAACCTAATGCACTGCAGACATTGAGAAGCTCAGACTCCAGCTCACCTGACCAGCACAAAACGCCAAAGTAAATAAGTGACAGACAAGCATCTCTCAAAGTTCTCTTATGCACATCCATGCTCTTGTCTCACTGAGCGACCGCTTCCTCCTGAGCTTTGAATGACTACTCCAGAGCATGTGAGAAATCATGGCAAGCATTTTGAAATGGCTGACGACGCATCGGTCTACTCTTTCCTTTACTTGGAGAGCTTGTGTGAGCTGTGGAGGAAGCCCCTTTAAGCTGGCACCATGCCCTTTTAGAAGTGCTTGTCAGCTGGTCAAGTATCGTCAGGATTTCCTGGTGCCACCACCCAGCTGCCAAAACTGACAATTTATCATTCACACCTACATCTCCCTGTGACTGGCCTGCTGTGCAGAGGTGGGAAAGAATAGATGGTTCTTTCGTCAGTCCTTTCCACAAGGCTAACTCAATTCTGTCCCTTTTCTTAACATCTGACTGTAGCCTCATAAATACATTCGAAGACAGTATTTTAAAATATGTACCTTATATTTAAGCTGCACCCCCCGCTGGTAAAAGTGGGTTATTTTAAAAGTGGAGCAAACAACAAGTCTGGGGAAAAGCTTTTGCCCATTTGTAACCACTTGCCTCTGGTCTCACAGGGTCTTCAATGCCCACCACGCAGAGGCAGGTCAGTCCAGAGAGGATATCGTTTTCATTGTCCCAGTCAGGTTCACCCTCAGAGGCTGGAAAATCTCTGTATGCCAGGCAGATGGTTCTTAGGCCCTCTGACGCCATGGGTTCAATCACCCTCTTCACCATGTCATCCCGGTCCCGTGGGCGGAACACCTTTTGCTCACCACTGGCCGTCATGATTTTATAACACCTGGAAGAAGGAAGAGCAGACACCGAAATAAAACCGTCTACACGCATGATGAAAAAAGGGAGTAGTGCAGGAGGGCACAATTGAAAGCAGTTAGTAGATGAAGAGTAGAAAAACAGACAAAGAGAAAAGAATCAAATGTAAAAAAGGTTATCAGATTAGATCAAGGGGGTGAGAAAGGGAGGGACGATAAAGCATCTGAATGGTGCGCTGCAGTAGTAAGAAGTCGCACAAAGCCCACTGTGGGTTAAAAAAGAAGTCCGCTTGGTTAAGAGGCTTACAGAGCTGTTACCAGCTCATTTTCTCAGAGCCCGTTTTTAAGTTGGAATGTAAGGGGCTTGGGTGGAACGCGCTTTAACTTCTTAGCTGCTTAAGTCATTACGCATATCATTTACTGCAAATTCTAACCAGCAGGAACAAAGCGAAAAAGGGGGGGCCTTTGAGTTTAAGACTGATGTCAGAGTTAACGGTAAGTCACACAAAATAAGGAAAGCATAGGCAACGTGAGAGAGACAAAAAAAAAAAACTCACTTTTTTAAGAGGATTTCTGAGGCTCCTTTGCTGAACATGCGGTAGCTGCCATCAGCCATCTTCAACACGGTGCTCATCGATTTGCGAACCGAGTTGAAGGTGTAGACTTTGTATAATTTTTCTTCAGGGATCTCGTTGCGTATGGTTTGGTAGTCGCGTTTCAAGTCATTGGAAAAGCCCAGCAAGGCACATTCGGTCTTGTTGCCCACTTGTCGCGGAAGGCCTCCTTCTTTTTCTGGAGACTGAAAGAAATACAATGAAGAAATGAAACTAAGCCATCTGCTGTTCAGTGTATGTTCAGCTGACTGCTCTTTGGCTACTTACCATGATCTTAGTAGTGTAGGCGCAGTTGACTGCAATGCCAAGAATCAGGATATCTAAAATGGAGGGGGGGATGCTCTCAGGTTCGGGGACCCTCTTGTAGTGGTGGTCGGCGAGAAACGCCTGCACCACAGTCATGCGGTTCATGGTGAGAGTGCCAGTCTTGTCAGAGCAAATGGCCGTAGCGTTACCCATGGTCTCACAGGCATCCAGGTGACGGACAAGGTTGTTATCTTTCATCATTTTCTGTGGAAAGATTTTGAAATGAAAGAAATTGTTTTTGAAACTATGCTGTTGGGGTTATAAATGTAGTAGTACAAACCCCCTGTGCAGGAAAACAACTCCAGAAAAACTGAGGGGATAATGGCATGGCTTAAGGGTATCAGTTAGCTATTTCTCAACAGCCTGGCCTGCTAGGTTTAATAGGCTAAAATGTAAGCTGTTCAGCTTTGACAAGTCATTTGGCAGAATTAGCTGACTTTACCTTAACAGAGTATGCCAGAGAGATTGTTACAGCAAGTGGCAGGCCTTCGGGAACGGCAACCACGAGAACAGTGACGCCAATGATGAAGAATTTGACAAAGAACTGAATGTAAATGGGTGTGCAGTCCTTGATCCATGGCAGATTCTGGATCCAAAAGGTATCTACCACAAACAGCACCACCAGGATAATGACAGTGATGGCCGACATAACCAGTCCTGAGGTAAAGGAGAGAGAAGAGTGATGTTCAATAACACTTACCATTAAGGAGAACTCACACATTCATTGTATAAATTAGTGTTTTTATCCCAAAGATCTTGAAAAGCAAATGTGAAGATAAAAGAGTGCAGCTATGTTAAATGAGTCTTTGACAGTACCTGCTTTTCCAATTTGTACCGCTAGTTTGGTCAGTTTGCCTTGAAGAACAGACTTTTCTTTCTTTGGTAGGTTGGCTTTCTTCTTTTCCTCTGCATCAGCTCCTTCATCGCTGTTCAGAGGCTGCATCTCCATCGCAGCGCCATCCTGTGCTTTAGCTGCATCAAAGAGTAGGAAACAACAACGTTTAATGAAAAAGAATAATGCACCACACTTCAGTAATGCCAGATATTCTGACATGATTTCATATTTTTACCAAGAAATGATAAAATAAAAAAATATATAGAACTAATCCAACTAAATAATTCTATTTTGGGATAAATACAGTATCTTTTCCTTTCCTCCACACAAAGAATCAAAGGTTTCTGAAAGAAGACCATTTCCTGTGATGATTACATTGAGAGGAGCAAAGAAGTTTGGGTTACATTTTTGGCCACACGTCACAGCAAAGAGCAGATAATCGCTTTGTAGAAAAACATGGGATTACACATCAAATGTTGCCACCGTACAGTCATTTCATTTTAGGTAAACCGTGTCAACGACAAAAAAATAGAAGATGTCAAATCATTGAAATGTTTGCGTGCTTTGTTCCTCTTCCCTTAAAAATCGACAGAAACCTGGGATTTGTCACAGTAATTATGTTTGCTGTGATCTGAGTGCACAGTAATTAGCTGAGAGATTTGAATCATTTCCATACACCCACATAGAGATTTAAAGAACAGGTTAAGTAGGTGGAAACTCTGGGATTTATAAATATATCAAAGAGGTTATTTCCTCCTTTGTTAGTAAATTCTTAAGTTATTTTAAATTCCTTCAATCAACTCATCAATATCCTTAAAGAGCCCCCCCCCCCCTTCCCTTTAATTGACTGATGGGAGTTATGGGAATCCAAAATCTTAAACTAAACAGCTGAGTCTGGACACACAAAGCGGGGGTAATAAAAAACTGCTATGTTTTGTGACAGAAAAATTACATTTTCTTTTTTTTTTAATCATCATGATATATTTTAGAGTCATGTGCAAGTAAAAAAAAAAAAAGGAATGAGAAGCAACACTTCCTTCACTAAAGATGGCTCTTTACTGTGCTCTGCAACAGAAGGTAGATGTGAAAATATGCACGGGGAATGGTGAACTACTGCAGCTGCTGTGCACTGTGGCTTGCTCTGCACTTACATGGTCAGTGTAATCTCAGTCTAAAGGATTACTGTTGATTCCTGGCAGGCAGAGGGAATCTGTGCGTGAGGGATCAGCGCCAGGGATGTGGTCACAGACCCAAGTACCTCTGATCATACAGTCCCAGCAAGACTTGCTAGCTGGCTGAGTTAAGACTGAACGGCCTCATTACCATCAGAGAGACAGCAACAGAGCAACTCCTAGGGTTTGACGGTTAATAGTTTAGCATGGGGCATCAATAGAAATCAGATTGTTGGGGCCTTAGGGAGAGGCAGATCGAGAGATGGGTGGGAAAGCAGATGTTCTGGCCCCAGAATTGTTGCATGGCTTTAATCTCCTCATCACTAATCGCTATAACTGGATTCAGTGGCACCTGCTGCTCAAAGCACAATGTGCCAGAGTAGGAAAAGAAAAGAGGAGAAAAAGAGAGAGACAAAAGGGAGAGCCAGACAGTTCAGTGGATAGCCCAGAACACCCCGTACTAAATATATGCTGACACGGGGTCAAGTAAAAGTATGTAACTTCTCATTAATTACAGAAAACTCACTGCAGCCAATTAATTGTGATTTTAACCTCCACCCTGTGGTGGTCATCTGGGAGGGAAACACTGTCAAAGCTTAAGGTTTAAACTTTGAGGTAGGCATGATGATAAAAGGTCATTTTAATTGGCGACAAGTGCCCAAGAATGTGTGGACGTCGAACTTACCTTTCTTCCGATTTTCCACGGATCCCTCCTGCTTTTTGTCTGTCAGGTAAAATGAGGAAATAAAAAGAAAACATTTCAATATTTTTTCCAACTATTACTAAAATCTGAGAAAACATTGCCAAACTAGAGTTTCTTATGTGCACAGAATTCTGACTCTATAAACTTACATTTTATGAGTAAGCAAAGTATTTTTCAGGTTTCAACAAAAAAAAAAAGTCTCTTTAAACTATGAAAAATCCTAAATCATCTCCAGCATAGAGCATATCTTCATGCTGGGTTTATTGCTCTCTACTATAAGAAATAACATGATAAAAGGGTTAGGGAGAAGACCAACTTTTTCTTTGCTTCTTCTTCTCCTCCTTCTCTTTTTTCTTTTCTTCCTCATCTTCGTCATCATCTTCGCTGCCCCCGAGCAAAGTGAAAATAATTCCAGTTTGAGAGTTGACACCCACAGCAGTGACCACCATTTTCCCTGAGCCTTCCATTACATGGGTGCCTTTGGACAGAAGTGGAAAACAAAATATCCTTTAAATAAATTACATGGAGTGTGTCGCAGTATTTCCAACAGAAGATCGTGTTCCTGTTCATTAACTAGGTTACCCCTTTTTTCATTCTATCCTTATCTGCTGCTTATAACCTTTTCTTATCCATCTTGGGTTAGATATAAATAAGAAATTTTGTATGGATTTAAAAATGGACATCAAATGAAGGTTTAAAAATAAAAAAATAACATAAAATAAAATAAATGATTTTTTTGTAATGGAGGCATTAATACAAATGAGTTGCACTTGAAAGTGAAGAGAAAGAAAATTCACTAATGCAACTCCAAACCTTTAATCAGCAGTCTGTAATCAAAGACCTATTGTGGGAGAATTAATGCATTTCTGAGAGGCTACAACACAAGAGCAGCTCTGGCTCTCCATTCCACTCAGAGCTATCCTGTCAATTTACAAAGAAAAGGCAAACAAAATAAGAGTACACAAGCTAAAGTCGTGGTGATGGAGTGAGCCGCTAAAAAGACAGAATGGAAAGCATTTAAAAACGACGTAGTGCCCGTGTTAATTAGGAGATTATTTTCTTAATTTGACGAAAAGGCAGACTGAATCAAAAGGCAGTTATTTGCATAAACACAAAAATACATGGACACACAACAAACTCCTGTGTGACGCCTGAATGTGTGCCAAACAGGAGCCAGATGAAATTAATACAAATCTGACATTCTGTTGTCAGGGTGACAGAGTACAACAGGAAAGACAATACCATTAGGCAGCACAGACACTTTGGTGACAGGCTTTCTGCACAATGTTAAAAACTAGTACTGCTTTACATCCAAGAAATATCGGATGGTGATAACTCCTTTCACTGAGCAGCAGAACAGGAACACTGTCTCAGTCTCATGGATGCATAATACCAGGACATAAGACCCACACTGAACAGCAGAAACAATGGTGAGATTGAACAAAACATGACAGAATTAAGAGGATTTAGCTGTTCTTAACCTTTTTAAGTAAAATAATTTACATCAGTACAACAAAAAATCAATTTAATTCAAGACAAACATAAAAATATAAGATATTCTTCATAATATTTATATTAAATTCATTATGCTGATTTACATGTCCTGATTCATGGAATTTATTAATATTACTGTGTTTTAAAAGTCTTTGTTGTAAATGTGCTTTATTTAATAACTCAAGCTCAGTTTTGCAGAATTTTCCCACTGTTCATTCCTAAGAAAAAAGTATGTTAGCCTATTGAAATTAGCTCATTTGTTTGGTGTTGTGTTTGTAGGGCTAGGCTACATCAGCTAGGATTATAATATCTAAATTTACAATATAAAATAAAAAAAAAAACTGAAGATAATTTCCTCCCTCTGCTCTGCATAAGCTGTAAAAAAGAAAAAAAAGTGGGGACTGAACTTGTAGTGACAAACAGGAACAGGAAGAGTTCAACTTCCTCACATGCATCAGAGATTGAAACTTGTGCAAGCTTTTACAATTCATAAATAATATTGCACACGTACTGACTTTCAAATAAAGCTTTATAAGAGATAAGAGCTTTTTTACTTTGTTTATTTTTCCCATTTGGCACATGTTTTGTTATATGAAAACTGATTATTTTCCTACACATTACAAATTATTATTGTCACTTTACAATGTTGGTGGTTTCTGATGTATCTTATTCCTTCTTTTACACATGCGGACATTAGCAAGGCTCAGACCTTTCCTAAATGAGAGTGGTCTTAGATTTAACAACAATCACAGGATCCAAACAGCAAAATAACTTCCAGGTTGCCTGGTGTTAAACAAATGTGAGAAAACCTTTGTTTCTATAACAAACCTTTTTCTACTATTAATGACATACCTGTAAAATAATATCAATCTGACCTTACCTGATAACAGCATTGGATCTTTCTCTTGTGTTTTCTTCACATGGTCCGACTCCCCTGTGAGCGAGCTCTCATCTATCTTCAGGTCATTGCCTTGAATGAGAACTCCGTCAGCAGGTAAGAGGTCACCTGGAATACAGAAAATTGGCCTTTAGATTGGAGGAAAATCACGTTGCATTAAACAGTACCATTATTGTTCTCAAAAATTGCTTCTGTTACAGAAACACAAAGATTACTGAAATGCTTTCTCACCATATTTTATTTGTGCAATGTCACCAACCACAATCTCGGCCACAGGAATTTGGATAACTTGTCCTCCACGGACAACAGTGAATTTCTGTTCCTGTTCAATGCGGCTCTGGAGGCCCCTGAACTGCTTCTCTTTACTCCAGTCATTGAATGCCGTCACCAGCACCACGCAGATAACTGACAGGAGAATGGCGGCACCCTCAATCCAGCCAGCCTCCGACTCAGTTTCATCCTCCACACCACCAGCAGCTTTTCCACAGTCTGTGGGGACAGGGGTAAATCTTTTATTACACGTTTCACTAAGAAATCTATCCATCACATAATACCATGTTAAAAATTATGTTTTCTATTGCAAAACACTAAACAGTATAAAAGATCAGACTCTAAGGAGCCAATTCTAATCATCTGTTAAATATTTTTGAAAGCTAGAATCAATTATCACAAATTACCAAAAAATAAAAGATTATAAAAAGAACTATAAATCATATACTATAATGAAAGGCTGTGGCTTACGTTCTCTTTCGGCATCTGGTGGTCTATAAAATGAAAGGCCTAGTGAAACTATGGCTGCCACTTCTAAGATAATCAGCGTGACATCCTGTAGCGCCTCCCAAACTAACTGTAAGAAGGTTTTGGGCTTTTTGGGCGGTATTAAATTTTCCCCAAACACCGTTTTCCGTTTCTCGATGTCAGCAGGCTGTCCACTTAGTCCTGAAAGGAAAAAACAAAAAGAACACACAGATGACAAAAGCATTAAAAACCTATTATTTTTGTTGTTTCTAATCAGGATACAAATGTCAAATATTCACACACATACAAAAAAAAAAAGACTCTTCATCAGGCGTCATGTAATTTGATTACAGATGGATGAGTAAGCATGAACATTTAGTTCACAGGAAGCAAGCATGTCTCATGAAAGTAAAGAGCTAGTGAACTGTACTCTCAGCACTGGGCCTCAGCATCATTTCCAAAAGGAATCAGCATTTGTGATTGGACACTGTGGAGGAGACAAAGCTGGGCAACAATGCCATGCTTTCTGCGGACACGTCAAACATTTTCACCTCTTTCAGCCAAGCCAAAGAATGTCAGAGCAGAGGTCAGATCTAATCTGCAAACACCACCCCCCCAAAAAAATACAATGACCAACTAACCAAAGGTTGAATCAGATTTAGACACATGGGAGCCCATCCGCATTGCTGTGCGGTTAGAGTGTCATCTCTGACACATTACACGTCTGGCTGGCCCCAGACCCATTCATCCATGTGCACAGGGCCAGCTCTAAAGCAAACCACCCAAAGGCCTCCACGTTCAAGGCATAGTGATATATTCAAAAGAGCCTTTGCACATTTGGTGATGCATGACAGTTTTTCAGTCCGACTCATGCGGACTGTGTGTGGGTGACTCTGCAGACGGGAGGGTAGATCTGTGTCTGTGCTATTGTGGAGGAGAGGACGGAGCTGAGGAGGGACTGTGAAACTGCAAACGACAGCCAGATGGGACGGGTTGGGCTCCAGTTTGACTGTTGCAAAAGACAGGCTAACATCATGACAAATCTTTGAATATCAAAGAAATATTCTTATTAAAGAAAACAAAGAGAAATAGAAGGATAGAACAAAAGAAAAAAAGATCAGTTGACATACAGAAAGTCTACATTCAATATATGAGGAGCCTTTACGGTGCTAGGTGTTGTGCACAAACCCCAGAACTGAAATATTACTTGAGGCCACAGATTCCTGCTCTAGCACTTATCGATCACCTGATTGGTTAACCAAGAGTGGTCAGAGCTTGCAAATGTCCAAAGCTGACTCAGATCATGTGGGACATCAAAAGTCACTCCCCTAAAAATTGAGACATTACTTTACACAAATCAGGAGTGGATTAACACCTCACTCCTAAATGAGAGATTTTAATACATTCCTAAAACCTCAAGTAACCATTTTAGCCATTAAGACCAGATGCAACATGTGTGCATCTCCCTGTCAGACCGGGAGTGGAATGCTTTGGCCTCTGTTTTCGATTTTCTAATTTCCCTGCTCGTTCTAATCTCTTCAATAAAACTAATCTGCAGAAAATAATCTTGTATCATCAGTAACATGTTTAATTTGGCATTACAATGTAATACTAACATACTTTTCTAAAAAGAGGTAAGAGGGGTGATGACTCACCAGCACATCAAATTAAAGAGGGGGGAAAAAAGCTGCCTGTTAATGCTTCCTGGCTGTCTTTCACCATCTCATTTAATTCCTTTTGCCTCTAATGAAAACATGCTGACAGCTAATACCCCCTTCAATTTTACACCACAATTCCCCTTATATTAAAGCAATGAATACAAGTGACAGGACAATCAAGGTGTCATCTCTGCTCTGGATACACAAACAAAATAGGCTGGCCTTGGCCCCTTGCATGATTTCTTTTTTCTGTTGTTGTTTTTCACACTCAAAGCAAGCCACTAATCATTAACCATTGCATTTGGATGCTTGTCCCCAATGACCCATCCGTGTGTGATTTTAGTCTACAAAGAGGAGTTGAGGTAAACCTGTACTATGGGTCATTTCTATCTGAGTGAAGAGGGGGCAGTTTTTCCTTTACAGCCCTCACGTTGCTGTTTGTGAACAGATAAGCACACTAAACGTTACACAACACGCTTCACTAGACATCCAAGAAAAAAAAAAGAAAAAAAAAACTTAAATAAAACCTAACAACCCCACTTGCATTCATACAAAACTAGAAAAAAAGAAACCCTTCATGTGAAGGTAACCTAAACGAATGCATCGCAGTGACATCGCAGGACTAAATGTTAGATGGGATTCACAGCATTGAAAACTTTGTCAAAGACCCTTAGATCAATTACCAGTCTGAATGACAAGCTTACCAAGCAACCCTATTACAAATATTAAGAGGTAAAACAATGTGCAAGCACAAGACAAAAAAAACAACTTTTTTTATTTTCCCCAGAAGACAGACTTTCAGATCAATTTGAGAAGCTGATCTGAACACTTGGCTCATTAACTGCCTTTATGTACTTATTAAGGAGCTTAAACCTGTGGTCCATAACACAAGAAATTATTTAAAAGGCAGGGCTTTTTTTTTTTAGGTATACAAATAAATATGTAGATAAATAATACATAACATCATAATGGGCCAATCGCCGCTGCTCAGGTTACAGTATTATCTTCATCATGCTGACACCAGATTATTAGTGTAAAGATAAGAGTAACATGTGGGTTTGAAACTCAAAGATTTTTGTTAAACATTTAAGAGAAAATTATTAAAAATGTAAATTGATCTTAAGATTATAACTTAATGTTTTGTTTAATTTTCAATTAATGTCCTACAATTACTGTAGCAGAAAAATAAAACAAAATATTTTTGCACTATTCATTACTCAGAAATGTTTGTTCTAATCTCAGGGCTTTTCTTACTGAACTATATGTTAAATATGACACTTTATCTGGCTATTCTGGAGCAGGGAGTTTAAATGGTACACTGTCTTTAAAGGTTTAACACTAACAGCATTCCTGAGCTGATCAATTACAGATTACAGAGATTGGCAAAACTAACACAAATGAAGTTTCACAGATAGGTTAGAAAAAATCTTAAAAACCATCAAAAGTTCAAACCACATCTCTGCTGTCCATCTGTGATAATCTAATATACCTACACAAGAAACCAATTGTCCTCTCAAATCTGTTTTCAAGTCAGAGACATTAGGATCAACACTCCTCCCTGTTCCCTCTTGACCACCAGAAGCAGGTTCTGACCATATTGACATATCCACTCAGATTATTTTTATTTTTTTTAAACTGATCACAAAATAACAATGGTTTACGGAGCCACACATTGTGCCATGTCAGAAGTAAAAGTTTACAATGGCCGCCATCACACTTTTGACTTTACATGTATTTCTCATTCACTAAGGCACCTTGACTCTCAGGTGTAGAGAAGGATCAGACTTTCTATGGTCCATCTGGAAGATGACCACTCAAACAGATGAGTCATGGCTTTCCTATCAAGCAAACTTATTAGAAAAAAAGATTTCCATACATGTTCTATGGCTGGTTTCTTCCCTGTCAAACAACAACTTTCCTGCCCAATAATGAGACCAAAAGGTACTAAATAAATCAATCACATGTCTCCTGCATGCATATTTGTGATCTAGTTAAAAAAGTGTCTTTAAAGACGATGTAACTACAACGATAGCCACTCATGTAAGACCTGGAAAAGGCAAATCAATGCAGAAATATTCCACCTGTTGACCAATATTAGAAATAGACTGAAATGCCAGTTCTTCTGCCAAGAGGCCACATTGAAACCTAGCTGGTAGAAAAAAGAGCTATGTCCACTGAGGAAGTAAAGTTGCATCATTAGCTGGTAAAAGATCAATGTGTTGACAAGTTGTCTCTCTCTCTGGCTCAAACTGCACCAGTTTAGAGAGACATGTCAAAAGAACTATTTTCATCTTTAAGTTTATCAATACCTCTTCTGCTTTTATGTGTGATCATCGGAATAACTGATTTAATGGACATATTTGTCAAACAGGTACAATATTTGAATAAGACTGACTGACAGTTCCTTAGGAGAGACAACATTCTTTTTCAATTCAAAGCTTTGTTTTGTTCATTATCCTAAACTAAATTACTTTATATCTAATCTGTAGGAACTTTCTGGAGATGTACAGAAACATGGTAGAACTGTACAACAAATGCCATTTCACAGACCAGGAGAAGTGAGGGAGCACAGCTATGCAAAGTCCCAAAGTGCAGCATTACTTGAATTATGACAAAATGAGCTTGGAAATGTGAAGGATTAGGAGAGGATTGGCTTAAGAGCTTTGAGAAATGACTGACCAACTAATTGGAAATCCCATTTCAATTGTCAGGCTCCTGTAATCTTAAATTATGTCTTAATTTCCCAAGCCAGTACTGACTGAGCTGATTGAAACCAAAGTGTCAAAATCCGGCGGCAGCATAGCACGCTGAGCAGCACCTGCTGCGACAGGAGACGGGATTTGCTAAACAGTGCAGTTAGCTACAGATAACTGCTCATGTAAGAAAATAAAAAACTAATTTACCCAACAAACTGATTTACAGCTGGCTTCGATTCACAAGATGGATACAAAATATGTCAATACCGTATGTGCAAAACAGATGAAGCTTCAATCTACATTTGATCCTCCAAACTAAATACATTTTCTGTCAATTCACCCGTTCACACTATTGCAAAAGGGCCAAACTGTGTTACACTCATACACACTCATAAGGAAGTCTCAGGAGGCTAATGGGCTTTGATTAACCATGCTCTGTTTTGCAGTAAACACAGAACTTATGTAAACTGAAAAAGGGGGCCGTGGAAAATATAGTAATTTCACTCATGTTACAAATATGACAGGACTCTACATTTACCGCCCTGACACAGCCATATGCGTGTTTAGGCAACTCACACCAATTAAACAGCCGATTTCCTACTCTGCTGCTCTGCTTCAGTTCTGACAAAGACAGCAACAAAAAGACTGCTTTGTGTTCCACTTCTACTGTCAACAAATGAAAGGTCAAGAATAAAACGGTACAGAAATGGCAGTGGCTTCAATGAGGCTCTTTCCACCTTGGCAAAGGGTTGCATTTATCACATTTCTGCCCACTTGATAAGGCGCAGGAATGGTTCCCTCCCTCGCTTTAAGGCACTGCATGCAGAGGACTGTTGCTGTTACAGTGAATATGTGGTGCCGTTTTAATCTGGGATCAAACTGAAAATCCCCTCTCATAAGAGTTCAGTCAAGGTCATACTGATGATTAAGCAGACCGTCAACCTCAGAGAGACAACCTCAGATAGAGGTAAAAAAGAAAAAAGGAAAAAAAAGGCAAAAATACGTCAGCAGGATTTTGCCACCTACCTGAAATAAAAACCTAAAAAAAAAATCTTGGAATTGTTAGGGAAAGGGATTTATTGATCAAAGGGTAACGCAGATGACCTCCTTGGAAATTAACTCACTCCTTTGCCACTTTGTTTAAACAACCACACAGCCAAATAGACTCCTGTTTTGTCCACCACATGAGGGACAATGACCTGCTTGCAGACTGGTTCTCTGCCCAAGCAAACAGCTGGTCTGTCTGAAGCCTGCACACAGAGACGCACGCACACACAGACACACACTGACACAGAGGTGAAAGAGGAGAGAGAGAGAGAGAGAGAGAGAGAGAG